CTTGAGAGACTCATCTTTCTGGTATGGAATGCTTGTTTTGTTGGCTTCCTCCCTAAAAAAATTTACCTTCAATGAATACATGGATTTTATTTGTTTATAGTAACATAACATTTGTGGATGAAGACATATTCAAAATCATATTGAAAACTTTTCAAGACATTTAAACACATCTCAGGATGATACAATAAAATTTATAAAAAAAAGAACCACACACAAATGTTTGCATAAAACCAGAAAGTAAATGTCTTATTTTTGTGATGTTTGATGTAACTAAGAAAACTTTGTCATTGCCTACGAACCTTGAACTATATAAAGGTCACAATGGCCTTCTTTGTGTTTCTTTTCAAGGTAAATAATTACAAAGATTATTTTGTTGACTTATCTTTAAATTGCAAGTTTGTGAGATCTTTTGAAATGAACCAAAATGAGCCATATTCATGCAACCACCAGATCAGATTATACTTGGAATAAACAGCAAATGAATTTCTGAATTTCAAGTGGTTGCAAATAAAATAGCATGCAGAATAAGCTCAGCCTCCCACTGCCGAAGCCCCTAATTTTCCTTTATTTCATGCATTTATTGAACATTTCCCCTGTGACCAAATGAGGAACTTTAGCATATGGGTGGTAAAGCCATAAGACAGCTCCAAATCTGGTTTTTCATTTATCTACAGTATTGACCAGCTTCTGAAAACATAAATCAAGAATTCATTTTATTTCTTTTGGAACTATTATTTTGAATCAGGTTGATATGTTTCTGACTATAAATAACATGTGACAATGCCATGTTTATGCTCTCTTCTATTTTCTGTTATCAGCTTCTACAACCCCCTTTTTCATTGCTAATAATCTATAAATATGTACTCTCCTCTTTGGATAAGGTTCCTACTTTTTATTCTCCACCAGACATGAAGATACTGGGGTAGGATATGAAGGAAGGTAGTATTGACATTTGCTTGGGTTTACCCATACTGAATGACTCGGAGATACCTATGTATCCACCACAGTGTTCCATGTGTACCCAAAATGTGTCATACTCTATCTTATTTGATTCTATGTCTATATGTTCTGCATATCTAGAGGAAACATTATTAGCTTCTATTTTCACAGGTATAGCCTCAGAGCAATTTTGCTAGATACTGTGTGTGCATGTGTATGTTTCCTATATATGTTCATGTACACTTGGAGGGCATAGATAATCATTGGACATCTTCCTCAGTTGCTTGCCACCTTATTTTTTGTCTTATTGAATCGGAAGCTCTGATTTGGCTACAGTGGCTGGCCAGCAAGCTCCAGGAACCCACTTGTCACCCCCTCCCCCAGTGCTGAGTTTACAACAGTTTTACCATTGCTTCAGGACTCCACATTGACACTTCCGTGTTTCAATGACAAAGTCTTTACTGGCTCATATCCCCAGTCTATAGAAAGAGCTCTTAGTAGATAAATACAGCTTTCCTTGACCAGAACCATACAACAGAGAGACCATCGAATATCCTCTAATAGGTAGATTCTTATCTATTTTAAAGATATTATTCCTTTAATGAGCCCAAATTCCAAGACACCATGCTTGTGTATTTCAATAATGATACAAATCAATAACTGCAAATTTTTATTTAAGAAGCCAAACAATGATACATCACAGAGTTTTTGATCAAACAATTAGTTTCAAAGATTAACTCCATACAAGTTGAATGTAAGTGATTCAAACAGGCACATAACTTGAAACAAATCAAAAAGTACTTAAAAGATCCCACTGAGAATGTGTGGCATTATTCCTTATCTTAAGGAGACTGTCTCAGATGAATGAATTGTGTTTTGTGTGTGTTTGTACATGTGTGTGCCTGTGTATGTATGTGTATGTGTGTGCTTGTGTATATGTGTGTGATGGAAAGGGAGACAGAGAGAAGTAAGGAGGGAGGGGAGGAGGGAGGGAAGGGGAGGAGGAAAGGAGGGAGGGAGAAGAAAAGAGGAGAGGGAGGAGGGGAGGGAGGGAGGAAGGAAGGGAGGGAGGGAGAAAGAGAGGGAGGGAGGGAGGGAGAGAGAGAGAGAGAGAGAGAGAGAGAGAGAGAGAGAGAGAGAGAGAGAGAGAGAGAGAGAGAGAGAACGAGAACAGAGGATAACATCCAGTGTCATCCTCAGGAATGCCATCCACCTGTTTGGAGACAGGGTCTCTCATTGGCCAGTTAGTTTTGACTAGCTGGCAAGCAAGCTCCAGAGGTCTACTTGTCTACCCTTCTTCAGCACGGGGACTGGAATTTTTATGTGATTTCTGGGGACTGAATTTAGAGCCAGAGGGCATGGGCTTTACTGACCTAGCTATCTGTCCAGCCCTCCAATAAATGAATCATGGCAGAAAACATGACTTAGGTCTTGGTTTATCTCAGAAACAATTTAATCTTCTGCATTCTGTTTGGGTGAAGGGATGGTGGTGTATGGGAAATAGTGCTTTGCTTATTGTAGTTCTTTGATGATTTTTACCTCTTGCTCTTTGCATCTTTCTTTGTTTAAACTAATTCATTTATTGAGAAGTTTTGTTATCAGCCCTATCCTTTTTAGCGTTTTTCTAGTTTTCAAACATTTCACATTATATCTTTTATTGGTAATAAAAAAAACCCTAAATCACCATGAAATCAAACCATAATTTCACCAGTGCTGCTCATAACCTGCCAAAACGTTTATGCTTCAAACCATACTTCTAGTTTCACTGGCGTTCAGGGGTGCCTCTCCACACATCTGTGATGTGCTGGGCCTTCTAGGTACTGTTACAAGGTGTAGTACATATGTCATTTCTCCTATTACAAAGTATAATGACTATGAAATGACATTGTTCCACTTTTCCTGATTCACCTGCCAAAGGCTATATTATAGATCCCACACAGATTTATGCCTAAGTTGGAAATATTCATTGGTGACATTTATTACCAATGAACTACTTCAAATATTTCATTCTTTCATACTTGGCCACCCAATGCTTGAAGCTTCTTTTTCCTTGCTAGGTGCCAAATGTCTTTTCTTCATTACCACACTAGCCTTCAAAGCACAGCAACGCATTGGTAATCTTTCCTGTGTGCTTGCTTTGGGGTAACTTTGTAGACTCTGTTTGCTATTTTCCTAAGCTTGCTGCAATAACTGCCACAGAGAATAATGGGAGTTGAGCTGCTCAAACAGATTTTTTAAATGTATTACTGCCTTAAACATATGATTTTAAGATAAAACTTATTAGAAGCTTAATTTTGAGTAAATATTAAGAAAAAAATCTTAAAAGGCTTTTCCTACATACTACTTTAAATGAGAAAAATTTCTGAAATTCAAACATAGCAAGCTCCATTTGCTCAGCGATGAGGTACTTGCACCAATTTCCCCATGGCCTTTGGTGTACAAATTTTTTTTTAAAGAAAACTACTTCTAACGTATTGATTTGACATTAAAGTTTGTTTATTTAAAGTAACTACTGAGCTTTAAAAAAGTAATTTGAATTGTAAACACTCAAGGATAAGCCAGTTTTAGGATCACATTATTGTGTCACAGTAACAGAAATGTGAATCACATTTAACTTGTGGATTCAGGTTCTCCTGTAAGCTGAACACTGAGCTCCTACACTCTTGAGAGAAGTCACAAGGAAAATTCAAATCTTCATTTCTGGCACAAAGGTTCCAGGAAATGATATACTGTCAGGAAATCACACACAGTCAGCTGCTTTCTGTTTTGGTTAACCAGGTAGTTTAAAAATTATTATCCCACTAGCAAAGTCTTCAGATTTTAGAAGCAGAACTAGAGGACTTATTGAGGTATACTTTGTGGTAGGTTCTGGAGTTTTTTCTCTTGCCCCAGAACTAACCATGGCATTGAGGATGGATAGGTATAAATCACGTTTTCTTACCAGGTAGCAGTTACCATAGGTGAGAAAATATCACCTATTTTTGGCGTCTATAAAATATTTGGGTATGGACTGGCATGAATTTCACTACATTTTGCAGACTTTAGTATACAATGAATGTTATTTTTTTTAAAGTCTACAACAAATGACTAAATTTGAGATTATCACTTAATTAATTTCTCAGTTTGCAGTGATAAAAATGTGAAAATGTAAGTATTAGCTATCAATGTTCTTTTCATTTTGTAACACTGCTTTGTATAATAACTGGAAGGGCATTTTATATAGTTTAATGTAGGACTGGCAAAATATTCAATGCTCTCTGATGGTCACAGTATTGGCTAGATAATAGAATTCAGAACTCACCCAATCATGGGGACAGAATTTGACGCCGACTTTGAAGTATATAAAAAAAAACTCTCTACAGTACATGTGTATTGGAGTTCAGTCCTGTATTCAAACTAGTAAATGTATTGTTTGGTTGATTAGATTGTCGAGATTGTAAAAACAGCTATTGCATATATTTGGAGCTTCAGGAAGGGGGAACCAAACATCTGAGGCTTTCTTTTCTTCTTATACAGAGAAAACCAGTTTAACAAGGGGCAGAAAAATCACAATTGCTCTCCAACTGTGGATTCATTGTGAAAAAGAATCAGGCAGCATATCCCCCTTGATCACTGGAATTTTCCTTGTGCATGCAGGTTGTTCAACCTTAGTCTGGGCTATAAAACTCATTGTTTTTGTTTCTTAATCTAACCTTCACTTTTTTTCTTTTGAAGAAGCTTATTTAGGGCCAATTCATTTGAAAGTAAATTGTAGTTTATAACAGGTTTCTTTACTCCACGCTGTAAATCTGAATACAGATACTGTCCAAACTGTCCTAAGAGTGATGTTTGAATTCACAGTAACAAAAGTTACAAAGTTCGTGCAAAAGATATTGTACACCATTGGAGTACATAGAGCTTGCTATAGTTAATTTTATTTATAAAGCTGCATTTCTCATTGAAACTATTATGTGCTACGTTAAAAGCCTGATTAAAGTGTTTCTAATGGTAAAACTGAAATGTTAAGATGCAATGGCATGTATGTGATGGATGTAAATGTTGTAGTAAATCACTGGAACCGTTTAAGCAGCATAGTGTTTGTGGAGCTCTTCAAGTTTTCCAAGGGTCATAAAGTAAACCCGGCTGTGGTGATTGCTCAGTGTAGAAGTGAAGAACAGCTTTAAAAAAAATAAGAGAAAAACATCATCAGTGAGTTTCTAATCCATTTTAGCTAGATAATTAATAAACAAACAGTTATGTACCAGTTTATAACTACAATTTGATGTAATTAAAATATTAAACCATCTTATTTTGAATAACTTTTCCTTATTTTAAGGAACATAAATTTGATTAGTTTGGAATTTAAATTATGTATTTCAAAGTAACCTTTTCACCATAGTCTATAGAATTATAATTCATATAGTTTATTATTTGGCTTTGTTTTCACTTTTAAAATTTATTCTTTGAGACTTGCATACACTGCACAATCAATTATGATCACGTGATCACTTTTTCAGCCCCCCCAACCCTTTCAACATGTTTCCTCCCATATTCTCTTTTTAAAATTTATAACCCACTGGGTTCAATCAGTGCTGACCATATGTGCAAAGGAATGAGGCCATCCACAGATCATGGGAACTTACCAGTGCCCTCCCCAAAGAATAATGATTCTCCTTTCCTTAGCAGCTACCAACTGCCATATAATATTTACTATAGGTGGTCTTCATGGGCTGAAGTTCCTTATTAGTTTTAGTTAACAACACTTTCCTTTAGCTGAGCAAGGATGACACCAATGGACATGCCAAATTGGACTGGGGAAATCCCACAAGACCTCCACTCTACATAAAGAACTACAGGCAACTGAGGGAAGCTGGGAGCTGGGAAGTGGGAGAGGTGTTTTTCTCCAGGGAAGAGGACACCAATCAGTTGTCCAGTGCCAAAAGATCAACCCTCAATACATACACACAAGTAACATTATGTGAACTGAATAGGTTATATTTTGGAATACATATGCATATACATATATGCACGCAATAAAAATTAGTGAAAAAAGGGACTATGAATTTGAATGATAGGGAGGAGTATACCGGAGAGTTTGAAGGGAAGAAAGAGAATTGAATCCTCCACTCATTTCAGTTCATTTCACTGAAATAGAAAATCATAAAAAAGTAGAAAATTTCTATAACTTCTTAAATATAAGCAGAAGTGGTAAGTGACAGAAAAAACAATTTTTCCCTTGTATTAAAAGGGAAGACAATTTGAATTAGAATGAATTTGTTTTTATTTTTTGAGATTATAATTGAATTGCAACATTTTTCCTTTCCCTAGTATAATGAGTTAAACCCAGTGGGACAGAGAGGAACATGTTGTGTAAACGTGGTTTCTTCCATAATAAAGAAAATTGAAACAGAACACAGACATAAGTGTCAAATGGAAGACAAAGCTTTCTTATATCATGAAAAGTTAAACTTAGCAGGGCATGATGATGATGATGATGAACGTAATATAAACCAGTTACCTTTAACACATTTCATGTGCCAAATACTCTGTAAGATGCTTACTATATACCTATTATGTAAGAGTTTCACCTTTGTTCCCCAAACAGTTATTAGTAGTTTCATCTTAGAGATAAAGGAATTAAGTTTTTAAAAGGTAAAACAACGGTTGGTGAAATGGCCCAATGGTACAGAGTTTGTGTAGCATGTGTGAGGTCCTGGGTTCTATGCCCAGCATTCTCCCACCCCCTGAAAAAAGACACCTAGGAAAGATCAATTCAGATTCTCTGGTTATCACATCTTGTTAGGTGACAGGGCCAGAACTGCAACCCCAAACTCTCTGATCTCAAACCCTGGTTCTTAGCATTACATTCCAAACTGGGCACCTTTCCTTGACATGCAGGGATTTTGCCCTGCTTTCTCTTCTATTAATTTGAAGTCTGTGTAATCCTTGGTAATGATTCTTAATCCTTTTAAAATTATTTTTTCAAAGTATTACTTTTTAAAATATTAACTTAGGTGATGAACTTTCTCATCTAGCTATTTTTAGTAGTTAACATGGATCAAATTTCACAGACAATTTCCAAGTCTCAATTTTAGTTTTCTTTCCTGTAAAACAGTCATCATTATACCTACTTGTGAAGATAAATTCAGACAGCTTTTAAAATAGCAAGCATAAAGCCTAACATATAATTATATATTCAACAAACGTAAGTTCTTTTTCCTTCTTTTATTCTTGGAATATGCTGAAAGCTAGAAATAAAAGATTTTCAAAAAGCAAAGAAATGCTGGTCATGAGATGGCAAAAGAGGATTTCATACACACTGTTGGTAGGAGTGCACTATTATAGCCATCGCGGAAAATAGTATGAAAGATCCACAAAAACCAACCAACCAAACAAACAAACAAAAAAGACAACAACAAAAAACCAACCCTAATAAACTTGCCATGTTCTCTGGCTCTCATATCTTGGTATGTATCCACAGGATTTGGGTACCAACCTACCAGAGATATTTATATCCATGGTGATTGGAGCACAATCCACAATAACTTTTGAGTAAATCTAGGTACCCATCAACCAATGAATAGACAAAAACCAAGAAAACAAAAACCCCCAAAGACGAAATCATCCATTTGCAGCAAAATACATAGAACTAGAGAACTTATGCTAATTGAAATAAGCTAAAAACAAAATATTAATGTTTTCTTTCATCTATCAAAGCTAAATCTATCTATCTAGAGATTAGGAATGATGCTGGGACTAAGGTAGATAAAGGGAGATCTGATTAGTGCACATGAAGGGTATGTACTGAAATAGCACAATGAATGTCAGTGATATGTGCAATTAAATTATGGTAATTAAAACCAAAATATTTAAATCATCCTATGAAGGCAGATTCACTCTCATATTTTTCTGAAATTTCTTTGTATGAAAATGAAAATGACTATGGATCAAAACTAATGAAAGTTCATGCCAAATAAAATATCAAAGTTTAATTAGGAGATTACTAGAGATTTTTACTTCAAAAATAGGGTTCTTTTGAAACAAAAATTACATTATTTGTCAAATCTATTTCTTCTGCAAAAGAGAATTGTTTTTATTAATAAAAAATTAAAGTTTTAAATTGCCAATTGAAAAAATATATATTCCTAAATATTATGAGCACAAAGTCTAATTACTGTCAATGCCTGGTTTCGTTTTGCTTTACTGAAGGCTGTAAACTATACCTTGTCACCACGGGTACACAGGAATCGCAGTTTCTTGATTGACCTGCGCTTCAGCTCATTCTCGAGAATAGTGGACTGCAGGGACCGCGCTTCAATAGCCTTTTGGTCCCACCCGGTGATTCTCTGTGTACACTCAAAAGCTACAACACAAATGGAAAAAGAACTTTTCATTTTTGTAGCAGTGAGATAAAAATCTTAACTACAGTTAACTATTAAGAAGTTAACAGTTACAGGTAAGGTTAAACCCATCTGGTTTTGACCTTATTCTGAAGTCTGCCATTTTGGATGTTTTGCTGCTTAGGGCTGGTACTCAGAGTAGTTATCTATAGATTCCCACAGCGATCAACATTGACTTGCTAGATCTTTGTTCATCTTTGTATTCATATACTGTAAGACCACAGTCTAATACAAGGGTTAACGACGTTGTAAACATTCAAATCAACCCACGGCTTAAAAAAGCATTAACAGTGTAGGTAAAGTACAGTGGACCCAATAAAGAACTGTATTGTAACACATATGGAAAACTGATTCATAAACAAACTAAAACAAGGGGTACAGATTTAGTTCAGTGGTAGAGTGCAAGGCTCTTGGTTCAGTTCTCAGCCCTGAAAAGATTTAAAACTAATAATTATTACTAAATAAAATCTTATTCAAATAATGACTTTAATAACTAATTTAATTGAATAAAAATTCCTGCTATAAGCAGAACTGAGGGTAATTTTATACATCTAAGGCTTTTTCTTGTAGAGGAAAATTATATTACATTTTAAACTTTTTAGGCCTATTTTATAATCCTTTTTTCATCATTTATGAAAATACTATCTGAAAGAATGCTTATTATGAAAAATCCACATACTTCATTGATTCTGTGAAGTATTTTATGGCTGAAGAAGTAATGTTAGTAAATATCTGACTTTCAAGTTACTATTCTTTATGAAATTTATGGGGAAGAAAATTTCCACACATCAATTACATTGTAACATTTAAAATGACACAAAATTTAACTGCAGTTAAAACACAAAATGTAGCACTTGGATGACTGAAAGCAAAATTCTTAATCTGACTGTTTTCCTTTATTTTGAAGGGAGAAACTGGCATTAGTATAGCTATGTCTTTTCATAAGAAAAATTTCCCATTTTCATCAAATGCTCTCGGGTACTCCTGTTTAAACCGAAATTTACCTGCTGTATTCAACATTAAAGTTACATCAAATAACTTATGGCAGACTAGGTAAACTATGAAAGTAACTAGCAAATGCGTACTGTGAGGAATGTAGCTTCTCTCAAAGAAAAGTGCCAAGCATATATTATCCCAGGTTTATTATAATGCAAACTACTTACCTGTGTGATTTTGATATCAAAATTGTCACTAAATTACTATCATATTTTGACTATGAAAATTAGCTGTCTTGAAATAACTTTATTAGTGTAATTTCAAGCCCTAACTAAATTTGTCACAGAAGGTATAAAGAACCAATGGCCTGGCTTACAGTAACTAGTAACTTATTTAGCATATATGAATTTTAATTTTTTACTCACATGACTACTATATTAAAATAGTATTGCTCTAAACAGCCACACAGAGAAAAACTGTCTAATTTAACATAGCCTGTCTACTGAGTCCACCACCCAGTTTTAGATCATCACAGATCCACTTAACCTAGATACTTACTGAACTAGCTTGGTTTCTGAATCTGGAAGTAGAGATTTGGTAAAACTTTCTACAATTCTTAAACTTCTGTACAATTATTTGGGAATAAAGAACATTGTCCTTGTTATTGAAAACATCATAGTTTCAAGAACTGTAAAATGTAGTTTAGGAAACTCTGGATTTAAGCTAGTTGTAAACAGCAAGTTGTTTTCAGTTAGAAAACAGATTGAATAATTTCCTTGACATCAGTGTTATATTGTAATATATTCTCATTATGCACCAAACAAACACTAATATCATGTATTTGTAGTGCTATAATTTGTTTTATATATACGTGTCTTTCAATTTTTACCATAACTTTTTGATCTAGGTTAGAAATTTTCTTGCCCGGGGACAAAGATATTGTAGACATTGAAAATCCCTTTTACTATTACGATCATCTAGTGGCTTGAATATCAGGGTTATTCTCAGGTTCCTATTTTGACTTGGCTACCTGATTTTCATTTCTGGTTCATATACTTTTTGAGGTTCTGGGGATGCATTCTTTCCCTAGGCTGCATCACTAGTTTCTACTTGACATATTATTCCTGAAAGTATCACTATAAAAGATATAACATGACTCATCGCTTTTACTTTCTTTTGCCCTAGATCCATCAATTTGTACCATAAGCATTTAGTGTCTGTCATTTATAACGGTTTTAAACCCTTTGTGAATTCTTACCTGTTTGAAGAAATTAGAGCAGGTTTCCAGGAGAATCCTTAACATTGACTATGTATAAAAAAATTAAGATTCTGCAGATGCAATGCAAAAAACTATCTCCCCATAGAAAATTGTCCAAAAATGAGTTCTTTCAAATTGGTCATTAAAATACTGTGGGTGTCACTTTTCTACCCACTGTAGACATTTTGGGGGATTCTGGCCTCTGGATAGACAGCTTTTCCTTCTCTTTCCAACTGTCTCTTCAAACACACAAAGACACAGACACAGACACAGACACACAGACACATAGTCACACAGACAGGATAGGAGGAGAGAGCTGTCGTTCATCTTATCATTCTACCCTTTACCCTTTCTAACATTTTAACTGTGTGTATTTTGTTCTCTGGTCACTAAACATTGGAAACGGACAAAAGAATCTCAAATTATTTTAATTTCCCAAACCAGCAGCCCTAGGCAGAAAAAATGGAATTCTCTATGTTGTCACATGGGTGGCAACAAATAGGTATCCCAGAAAGTTCTGTCTTTTTATATAAGTGATTTCATACAAACACCACTCTATAAACAGAACATTGATGACTAGACAAAATAGAAGTACTTTTGTATATGTAATCATTTAAATTACCCTTCAGTGCTTTAAGAAAAAAAAGCAGTTCTGGAAACCTTATTTAGTACACATTTTCATTCTCTGAAAGCTTCTCCGGATCATCTGAGAGAAAAAGGAATTTGGTACATACCTACAGAAGATGGTATGTCTTTCCAGACTTCAAGGATCTTCTTGAAGAGTTGTTCATTGGCTTCCTCAGAGACACCTTCAGCGTTGAAGGTGAGCATCACGCCAATTCCCAAGCAATTAGGTAAAATGATGATATTCTGCGATATAATGATTTCCAGGTACCGGGATTATGTTTTATAAAGATTTTTGTGTCCAGAATTTTATCACTATTATGTTAATTGAAGTAACAATTACTTTAACTGAAGACCAAAAGATGCTCAGCATGCAGGGAGGAAGGTAACCTCTGTTTCTCAATTCAATAGAATGAATTTGAAAAGAGCTAAACATTTGAGAAGAGCTGGTTTCCATTAAGTCATCAGTTTTAATATTCTCTATTTTTTTGTTTAGGATAATAATTTGGAAAAAAAGTAGAGCTATATTTCCAACATAGAGAAATTTCTTGAAATGCCATAAAAGTATTGTACATTGTAATAGGAAAAATAACACAGTCCTGAATTTAAGATTCATTTCCGAAATTAAGCAATATTTTCATAATGAATGTGTGAGCTAAGTATCAAATCATATATATAATTCTTGGTCATCAGCAAATTCATGGAAAAAAGGAAAATAAACCTTAAAGAGCTTAAGCTTAAAATGTTTTAAGGGACAACTTTTAATACTGTTCCTGGCTTGTTTTATTATATTTGTCCCATATTCAAGAAAATGCAGAATATCTCATTCAAGTCACATAATGTTAATATAGGTTCTATATGCAAATTCAGAAGTATTGGTTGGCAGAATAAGGAAATACTAAGAGATAACTAAGCATTTGTAAATTCTCAGATTCATAAATGGGACAGAAATCTGTTTAGAGCACAGATATTATGCCACTGACAGTATTTCTCTGATAAATTTTTTAAAAATTGTGTTTTGCTATTTTTCCAAATTAGCAAGTTACAGGGGTGGGGAAGGTCAGAAACTATACTTGCCAAAGCCAGCGTACTCAGGCCAAGTGCTTGAGGCCATGTCTCAGCAACAACAATCCTCAAAACTAAAATAGGAATCCAGAGGCAAAACGCAATTTTAATACGTTCCCTGGGTACTTGCATGAGCAGTTGAATCAGAAAAAAGATAAGAAAGAATGAAAGAAAATGCAAGAAATAAGGTTGTTTCAAGAAAAATCTATTTGTAATAAAATGGGACTGCTGCAAATCCAGACAGCCTCCAAGGTAATTTCCTTGCTTCTAAGGTGCTTGCTGAAGCAACCGGATATTCTTAGCATGTGTGGCTCCCCGCACCATTAGAGTCTCTGTAATCTAGCACTTGGGAGAAAATATTATTTTTAGGACATTCTCTTTCAGAAGACACCTCCTTTCATATTAGAGTCCTTTCTATTTTAGTGGGTCAAGACACTAGGGAATTTGTCTAAAAATATGTTTGCATATATATGAGGTATCCTAATTAGGTCAGAAAATGATTTGTAAAATCCCTACATTTTCATTCTCATTTCTATAGTTAATTAACTGATTTTCTAGAGCAAATAATTTCCCTGCTTATTATTTAGATTTAAACTTTTTCAGTAATTTTAGTTTTCAAGCCAGTAACTAGTGTATCCCAGGCTGGCCTCAAATTTGCTAAATAGCCAATGCTGGGCATAATATTCCCAAACTTCCCGCCTATACTTCCAAAGTTATGGGATTATATGTGTGTATTAATATGCCTGGTTGGGCTTTTCAATAAATGTAGACTTAAACCAACACTCAAATATTCCTTATTGCACTGGCTTCTGAATAAAGGCTATCTATTATGATGAGAAATATAAGATGCAGGAAGCTACAGAGATATGTTAAATGAAGAATAACATAGTTATATCAAAATCACTTTGTGGTTTGGGCTGAGATTGTGTTTAATATTTTCACAGTACAAATGGTAAATTGTCTATGTAGGCAACTACTAGGTTACTAACTAATGATTGTTAGTTTCACCAAAATACCTTTAAAAATGTCTTCATCAATGTTCTGCTGATTGTTTTTATGTAATTGTTTTAATTGCATTATTAGAGACATAGGCTGTATTCTTAAAAATGTTCAAAATAGCACACAAATTGAGTGGTTTAAAGTATATAAATGTCTTGTCCAAGGATTTTATGTAATGATAAGCTGCTGAAATTTTAATATTCAACAAACTGAATATTGATAAAGGATGAAGAGAAAAACAATTGCTGGTAAAGACAGCAGTTTTAAATATAACTCTCAACAAGGAAAAATCAATTCTACCATCAATATTTTGTATGATGAATTTGGTGTGGTATGATGTTATTGTCAAGCTCTTTCTATTAATAATGAGTGTTTGTACAGCCATTCACAGTTTAGATCTTGGGCTTTATTTACATGTTGAAAATTGTGGTGTATTTACTTTAAAAATACTGAATCTTGTCATCAGAAATTTCCAAATATAATGAATATCATAAATGAATTTTGAAGTAATTTGCTATAGTCTACAGATAATTCAATAAAGAAGGGAGTGCACATAATTATGTAATTGTGCTATTGATTTCTTAACAAAGTATATTAGTATATTACAGGGTATAGAAATACTAAAGCCAACTGCAAAGCATCCTAGGGCTAATTAGTATAAATGCACAAAGATGAATGGATAGTGAATGTAGAACACAAAGCCATTAAAAGGAGGCAGCCCTCAATTAGTTCCACTTGATAATGGCCAGATGGTGGTGTGGGCTTGAGATTATCAGTTCTGGTTAATCAATGTAACTCTGGATTTTAAAGGTTACATGTATTCATTATTAACAAAATCATTATGTTCAAACAAAATCTGTCTGCAGACTGCACTTAAATATCTGAAATATGAAACCATTAGTGATTTTTATTTATGTAGCAACACTTTCTGGCATGCTAAACTTACCTGTTAGATCTCTATACCCTCAGACATACATGTACATGCAGGCAAAACATACATGAAGTAAAAATAAATATCACTTTTAGAAAGTAAAAGAAATAAAGGAAAATTATACTTTAAACCTTTGAGAATCTTGATAACTGGAAAAATTCAAAGTGTTTACAATAAGTTCTATGGAACTGAAGGTATTATCTTACGTTATTTGGCAAGGTCACATCAGACATAACTTCAGATTCTGCATCAATGATGTGATATCCATTAGCTGAGCTGAAGAAAATCTTCAGTGTTTTCTCGGAACCAATAGCCAGATCAACTGTCACTGGCTTAAGATCAAGAGTTGGAAACACCTGAAAATATAAAAGCAAATATGGCCCAAAGGCCAAAATGACTTTCTGACTATGCAAAAATTTCCCTATTCTTTTGCCATATTTATGAGTTTATAAAACTCAGGTGGCTGTTTATGATTGGTTGATTGACTGATTTATGATCCTGGGGATTGAATCTAGGGCTTCCTACAACCTACAATGACCAAGTGGTTAAGACCTTCAGAACCGCATATGGCCTTGTTCTCTCATTAGCTGTCCTTAAATTCCTTGCCTTGAGCTTCAGCAAATGAAGGAGCTCATCTGGTCTCTTAAACCGGTTCGCTGGATCAGCTGCCTGTATTTTTGCCAATATTCGTATATAGGCTTCATAGGACATGTAGTCTCCTTCGGAGTCTGCTGACTGATCAATGCATACTTGGTAAGGAATGAAAAAGGCCATACACATTAACCTATGGTAGACAGATTATCCTCTAAGACTCCTATGGTGTACAGTCCAAGGAAACTAAAGGACAAACAGGATTCATTGCTAAGATTAGATTATGTAAAGGACTGAGCATCACAGGATTCACAATAATGTAGTCATGAGGTGGGCATCAAGAATGGAAATGAGGACTCGGACAGGAACCAGCTAGACATATTGTTAGTACTTATCTCTTTGTTTTCCAGTTCCATACCAGGTAGCGCTGACAAGTCAGCAGACACCCAAGAATTAACTCATATCCAAATGTTGACAGCTGAGCCAAGACCCAATTTAGGCAGATCAGATCAGGGATGCTCTATCTGTCATGGTAGACCAATTGTCTATATAGTAGCCTATTCTATCTAGAAAAGAGATACTCTGCAAACAGTGAAAATAGTTCTTGAGGAGTATTCATATGTGTTTTACAATGATCAATGTATATATGTGATGTGTTGTCCTAAAAATTAGAACATATAAATAGATCCTGACCTAAGATACAAATGCATTTCAAGAATACCTTGAAGACTATCAAGATGTGCTCCTATCAGTCCTTTTTGAAACCTGTACGTGGCCAAGTAGTTCAGTATCATTGAGAACATTTGTTAAAATCAGATTCTCAGGCCCCACTGCAGACTCATTAATTCAGCCTGGGGTTGGGTCTGAGATCTAAATATTTAACAAATGCTCCCACTGATTCTGATGCCTATAATAAGCAAGACAAAATAGCTACTTGGCTTTTCTAAAAAAAAAATCTATCCTACTTAAATAGAACTCAATTTATGGGAAAGGAAAAAAAATCAGCAGCAGTTTGTTTGGGCCATTAGATGGCTAGTTTCCATAGCTGATCCATACAAGTTCAGTTAAATAGTAAGATGTAACGCATACCGTGCCTACTCACTATGTCCCAGAACACTACTACAGAGAAGTGTGTTTCAGACCAGAAGAAATACAGACGCCCCTTCCTTCCCCCACCCATGTATTGTTGTAAGGATAGTTGGAGCAAAGCCTTTCTCTCCCCACTTCCAATGTGGCTTCCTTAGCATCTCCACATCTTATCTTACCTTCCCTCTGCTCTCCACCCCCCACTAAGAGACAACAGGGACTTTCCCAGCTTCAAGTCATTGGGGTGGCACCTGAAGCCTGTGTTTGGGCTTCTAGAAGAGAAGATCTTCATGTTGACTACAGGAAATGGGAGTGAGGAGCTGGTGGGGATGTCCTGTAAGGGGAGGGGTTGGGGACTTCCCTCAAACTCTCCCTTGCTGTGGCGCCTGTGGATTGTCTAAAAAAGGGTTAAATAATAATTATTGACATGATATATTCAAATTGCAATAACTGTAGCCGAATGGTATATATTTCCACATCTACATTCCAAACTATTTTGTTTATAATTTCTTCTTTAGAGAAAAACAGTATGATGCAAATGAAATGGTCACTCACTTTAATAGCAGTGCTTTCATCAAAGGATTTTGGTGCCCATGCAAAAAGGTGAATTGATGATTTCAAAGCAACTGCGATATATGTTGTTTCTTCATGTTGAACTATAATGGCAACATACAAAAAAGTCATACCTCAGAATTAACAAGAACACTCAGGAATTTATATTTATTATCACAAATGAAATAACCACAGTGTTAAAAGCAAAACTGCATATTTTTAGAATAGCTACTTTGCTGGAGTTGTATTCTCTTCATTCAATATTAATATCACCGAATAATTCCATGGATTGTATTTATCAGCATTCAAGTGCATTTTATTCTTATTATACACTATAGCAAAATAAGAGAATAAAAATAAAGAAAGTAGTAAGGTTGGGTGACATAACTGTTATTTTATCACTTTGGGAGGCTCAGGAAGGAAGATTCTGTGTTTGAGGCCATCCTGGGGCTACATACCAAGCGCCTATCTCAAAAATCCAAGGGTTGTGAGTGTAGATTAGTAATAAAGTGTTCTGGTAGTATGTGCAAAGCTCAGAGTTTCATTCTTAACAGAGAATAAGATATTACAGAAAGTCAAAATAAATGGAAAAACTTTCCATATTCATGGATAGGTAGATTTTCTTAAAATGTAATTATCTAAAATAATCTTTACAGATTAAATTCAATCCATGTTGAAATCTCAATGATCTATTCTGTAGAAATAAAGAGGCCATTCCTAAATGTCACACATAATCTTATAAATGTTCTGACTCTTCAGAAAAGTCTTCCCAAAAGCCCAAAGTTGAAGTACACCCATTTTCTGATTTCAATATTTACTATAAATTATATTAGTAGCACTTAATTCAGTCATAAGAAAGAATGAGATTATATCATTTTCGGAAGTAGATATATCTAGAGATTATTATATTAAGTTAAACAAACCAGACTCAAGGAGACAAGTAGCATACATCTTTTTCTTACATATGTAAATTGTATTGAAGAAAAAGTAAAGGGGCTGGTGAGATGGCCCAATGATTAAGACAGCAAACTGCTTTTGCACAGGATCCAAGATCAGTGCCTGGCACCCTACTTGGACATCTTAAAACTCTCTGTTACTCTAGGACCTACAGTCTAGACAAATGGAATCTTGGCTGACCTTGTTGGACACCAGACACACATGGTGTACAGACATACATACAGGCAAAACAGTCATATGAATCAAATATTTTTTAAACGAAGGGAATACAGACAAACTGAATTCAATTGAGATTCACTAAGTGAAAGAAATCTGTTACAGAAGACCACATAATACATGGATATTTTTCTGTTAGCTTCTGTGATAAGGCAAATACATAGAGAAAAAATAGGTTATTCTTTATCTAGTACTTCACAAAATGTGGGAAAGGGGCCGGGCAGTGGTGGTGCAAAGAGTGAGTTCCAGCACAGCCAAGGCTACAAAGAGAAACCGTGTCTTTAAAAACAAACAAAATAAGTGGGAAGACGGGAAGGAAATACTGTAATGGAATACTGGTTTCCTTGGAGAGAAAAATCTGAACTTTTATGTAAGTTAAGATCATAGTAATGGTTATTGAGTTGTTCACTTTAAAAATACATTTCATAACATGTAAATAATTTCAATAACACTATTGATAAAGTAAAAGTTATACAAAGTGTATGCTTGTTTTATGGAATATCCCTCTTCCTTTGCTAGAATACTGCTTTTGTTCTGATTCTCACCAATATTCTGTCTCTTGACCATATTTTCTTCCACCTCTTTTATTTTATCTCTTCTTCCATTCTACTTGTCAATGGAAGAAATGACTTTTGGTTGTCCTGGGTAGTAGTACCAGTGATTGGAATGGACTCAGGAAAATGGACTTCATTTGTCCATTTACCTTGAGTACAGATTTCCAAGATTACCTTTGTAAAGATCTGTCATTGAGATAAAAATTGTCAACTTAGTAAGAGGTAGTTGTACAATATAAACTCTTGGATTAGCATCTTGGAATATCTTTCACCTTTAGGGCTATCATATTTATATAATATGATTGCAGGCAGTGGTGTTATCTGAAGCTATAATAAAGGATTTATCCTATACTTTAGCTTTCTAGATACAAATTCTTTCATTTAATGTTATATGTGTATATATGTGCACACAAGTGAAAGCAAAAAGTCAGTTATGATATAATTTTTCTCTTGCAATTTATATAATGTGATTTCAGCAGTCGTTCACTTACACTACCAATTCTGCTCTAAGGGTCAATCGCTTCAGAGTAAAAGGAAACTAAGAATAGAGGGGATTTGATTCAGACATGGAATAGACCGGGATAACATTATTTCATAGTTGTCAAAGGCTCAGAACAGTATTCTGAGGCCCAAAGGGGTTATTACTCTATTTTACAGAGATATTTATAAAGAGAAACATGATATGAAAACATTCTATAATGAAACATATAGTATTAGGAGCAACAGTCAACAGATCACAGAAAAACTTTCAGATTCACTATGAAGTTTCCTGGTATTAAAGTATTAAATGGGATCATATTTTATTGCCATTCAAAGGAAAGGAAATATCACATACATCTCTGCAAGTTGCTAAAGCTATATCAAGAATAGTTATAGTAAGGAAAATATTACTTTCATATATTAAGTGTGACTAGGAAAGGAAGAAAGAAGAAATAAACAACTTTAACTCCGAGCTATTTCAGCCAATAGGTATGTACAAAGGTATACAGAAAACGCCTAGGAAATGCCTCGATGACATTCACTCATATTTTCGTTCAAAATTGTAAATTCTTTCCTTTCTTTGTCTTGTCTTTTGCAATTATGGACCTCTCCACATAAACGGAAGCATAAACTCTATAGCAATAGTAAATGTGAAATGGACGTACGGACACTGAAGTGTTCACAGCCAGTCAGCTTATCAATAGCTTTACAAGCTTCCTCTTTCTTCAGCATTTCCTTCTGCCTTTTCTTACTTTCGGGATCATTATTCAGAATCTTGTTCCTCAGCCAAGTCAAATGATACACGCGAAGTCTGTTCTTGCGGCCTGGTAGGAAAACATGATGTTGTTTCAATTCTCTCCCTCTTTTTACATTCTAGAAATACAAAGAAGTAGGGCTGTGCTGCTCTTTAAACCAAATTTTCGTTAAACTAAAAGTCACTTTTTAAAACTAACATGATATTCGTGTCTTCTGTTGGGCTCTACTAGTTGCCTCTGTGCCTATCTGAAGTGGATTCCACCAGGATAGGTTAAGATTGTCTCTAGGCAGCCAACCCAACCCAGTGACTATCCATTCATTTGAACTTTCCTAAGTCTTGGCTCCTCTACAGTTCCCAGACCTAGAGGTGGTTCCTGGTAATATGAATAGATAAGAAGATGTCTGAATGCCAACTGGGCTTTTGCGGCCAGGAAATTGGATTTCCTTGAGTTCTGTCAACCTAGCATGTTTATAAATGAATTGGACACATTTATTTGTTTCTTTAATTCTTTTATCTTCTTAATTTTTATTTGTATTTAAGGCTTTTATTTTATTTTTTATTTTTTTATTTTTTTATTTTTTTGGTTTTTCGAGACAGGGTTTCTCTGTGTAGCTTTGTGCCTTTCCTGGGACTCACTTGGTAGCCCAGGCTGGCCTCGAACTCACAGAGATCCGCCTGGCTCTGCCTCCCGAGTGCTGGGATTAAAGGCGTGCGCCACCACCGCCCGGCCTTATTTTTATATACTTATGATGTATAAGGTGGTATTTTTATTAATGCAGACGTTGGTGCTGTGGGATGGTCTTTCTGTATGCTGTAAATATGTGTTGCTATGATTGGTTAATAAAGAAGCTGCTCTGGCCTATGGTGAGTCAGGTTATAGCCAGGCAGGAAATCCAAGAGAGAGAGAGAGAGAGAGAGAGAGAGAGAGAGAGAGAGAGAGAGAGAGAGAGAGAGAGAGAGAAGAAAGGCAGAGGCAGGAGAGATGCCAAATTGCCATCCTAGGAGCAACATGTAATGGGATGCAGGTAAAGTGACAGAACACGTGGCAATACATAGATGAATAGTTATGGGTTGAGTTAAATTATAAAGGCTAGCTAGCAAGAGGCCTGCCGTAGGCCATCCAGTTTGTAAATAGTATTAAGCCTCTGAATGATTATTTTATAGGCAACTGTGGGACTGTGGGACCAGGCATGACCAGAGAAACCTTCCGGCTACACATTGGGAAATAATCATACTCATTAACTTAATTTTAAAAAGTTATTTATGGTGAGTACATTCAAATTCTTCTCTTCTAACTATTTTGAGACACATAATGTGTTATTTTCCTTACATTCACCTATTGTTATAGAACAACAAAATGTAGTACTCTTATTTAAATTTTACCCACTATGTACCTGTTACTTTATATCACCTTTCATCCCCCTTTCCATTCAGTCCAGCTGCTGGCAACCACCAGTCTACCCTCAGCCTCTTTGAGGTAATGCTTGAATTATTTATTTTAGTTTTTGAGATTCTAATATAATAACATCATTTCCTCCTTCCAAGCCCTCTCATATGACACTCCTTTCTCTCTTTCAAATCCATGGCCTCTATTGTCATTAATTGTTGTTACACACGTATATGTATATACATGGATAGTCATAAATATATAAATATAACCTTTGGAGATAATTTTTATATTCTACTCATTAGTAATTTCCTAATTACTAATCCTATCAAGTTTTTATAATTTATTTGAGCACTAAAGGCCCTATATGATGACTTTATTCATTTTTCTTTGTTATTTTTAATATTGTTATAAAAGTCCCAATAATAAGAATCTTTTTTTGAGATCACACTGGCCTCAAACTTGGAGATCCACTTTCCTCCTGAGTGCTGAGATTAAAAGCATGTGCCTCCAAGCTCAGCCTACCACTAAAATTCTTAATGTGATTAATTTTACTGTGTTTTTATAGGGAAATTTTAAAGAGGTGTTAGGATTCAGAAAATTACACTTGTCATTTTATACTTAACAGTTAGAATAAGCTACTGAATAACTTCACATTGCATCCTTGTAAATTCTTTTCAGAGTAGCCTTTGAGGATCTTTATCTGAGGATGACTTTTTTATAGTATTTGTCACAAAAATAATTTATAGGCTGAGGAATCCTTGATTACCATGCAAAAAGCCTTAGTTTTAAAACCCAGTGCCAAACAAAAACAAATTACAATTGGGTTAAGCTTAAGGATTGTAAAAAGATATCTGGGTTTGAGAAAATCAGATGAAAAAAAAATTTCTCATCCAGATGTGTATAATCTCCAAGCTACCCAGATGTTTTCAAAACTAAATATTGCTTCAGTGTACCTGAAACCATTACGAATGATTGGTCATGAAATATGATTAAAATATTATGAAGTCTGAGTTTATCTCTAAAGAGTTTTGCCTTTAATCAAACCTTGAAGCAGAATGAATCTTATCCAATCACAGCAATTTGCACACTAATATATATTCTACATGTATCTTATATGTTATGAAGTACAAAAATTCATATAAATATCAGTGGTTGATAGGGTTTTATTTGGTGGCCAAATCTTAGGTTAACCACTCCCATTAATTCATTAGTTGTCTTTTGATTTTCTGATACTAATCCCTGTTTAGTGTTAGGTCTCAGGACAAAAGGCTAACTAAGGTGCTTATTAACAAATCAAAGCAGAAACTGGCTGCCAGCTTCTCCCAGCATCCCTCAGTCTCTACCTGTTACAGGGTCCTTCTGGCTGGCATATCCTACCCCCTACCCTGAAGTCTCCAGCTCAAGGGCTGGGCTGCCCTTCTCCCATATACACACATTCTCCCATCTTATATATTCTCTTCCATATATAACTCAGCCATTTGGCTACACCGGTCCTTTTACTCTTTTGCCTTTTGGCCTCTTGGCCTCTCAGCTGCCACTCCAGGCTCCCCTTTCTCCCCTCCCCTCTTTCCTCATATGGCCCTGTTCAGTCTGCAGGTCATGTCCACACTGGACTCTCTCAGATGCCTCTGGCTGTGTTCTCCCTCATATCTACAATAAACCTTCTCCTCCTCCACACCTAGGAGCAGTCATGTCCTCATTTTATTTATTTATTTTTCGTTCATTTAATAGTCACAATTAATTTAACACCAACTTACTTGCTTTTTCACAGTCAAAGTTTCAGGTTCTGATTATGAAAATTATGAAAGATTAAGAAAATTAACTACTGTTTGGGAAAGGTGTAGATGTTTTTAGGGAATCCATTCTTGTAACTAATCTTGTCTGTTTGCCCATGTAATATTAGGCAGAGACAGGGACATGTCTTTCTTTTACCCAATTACTCATCGACTTGTGTTTTGGACACATCAAAAGCTAGATGGTGGATATTGGTGTAGTTCATTGTGAGTGAGATTACAGCTCTGAAGTTTTGGAAACAACTCTGAAAAGAAATTCAAGGATGCAAATGTAGTTTTCTTGATCTCCAACTTAGGTTAAGTGCATCAAGATCAAAGGGAGTTTGTTTAAAGTCTAAATGGATAAGAAAACACAAGTAGGAGATTCTGCTGTCCCAATTAGTTATATTTAAAGTGTTTTCCTATGAACACCTTCACCCAAGAAAGCCTTTAACCTAGTTTGCAGTTCAATTACTCGGCATAATTACTCAGTTAATTTTAGAACTTAAACAAACCAGAGATGGTAATCAGCAAATTGAGTGGCTCCACGACTTGAATCTGGCGGAATGGTCTTCGCTTTATAAGTTTAATGATGTCTGCCTTTCCACTTCTGTCCATCAGGTACAGATTAGATCGGGTGCCCAGCAACAAATTGACTCCTGTTTAGATACAGAAAGTGCTGTATTAGCTGATTATTTCTATTAGTGTGTATTAATTCTACAGAAAGGGTTTTCACTATGATGTTTTTATACTTATCTATCACATAATTTAATCGAAATCACTCTCATTACCCTTTCTTATTTTAACTTCTCCCCTCCTTCTGGGTACGCTTCCATTTCCCTAACAGTCTCCACTCTATGCTTAGGACCTTAAGAAAAATGAAACTAGATCTTGCATGTGAGGGGAAATGTGATTTTTGTCTTTATGCATTTGGCTTACTTCAATATCCAGTTATAACCTATTTTCGTACAAATATGATTCTACTCTTTCTCATAGCTGAATCATACTGTACTACGCATATGTGTATTCCACATTTCTTTACTCTTACTGATTTTCTAACTAAATATATATGTATAACTGCTTTGGTTATTCCAGTTTGCTAGTCTATATAAGATGACTTTTATAATTTCAGGCTAATATTAGCCTTGTTCACCTCATACTATTCAACTATGTATACTCCTAACAGAGTGTGTTTCATTAAAATGTGTAAATAGATGTCCATACATACTAGCAATATTCTACTGCTTGCTGTCTATTGTGCTGACATACAGAATATTATGTATACCATAGCGCTATATTTTAATTGTCACAAACATTTCCAGAATCAATCAGTGTGGTGACATTGTATCTGTATACCCCAATAAAGTTTATCTGAGGATCAGAGGAAAAAACCAGCTACAATTGTATACAAAGAGGTCAGGCAATGGTAGCACATGCCTTTAATCCTATCATTTGGGAGGCAGAGATCCGTCTGAATCTCTGTGAATTCAAGGCCACACTGGGAACAGAGCCAGGAGTGGTGGAACATGCCTTAAATTCCAACACTAGTTAACCATAAAGGTCTGGAGGTCTGTACAGATGGACAGGAAGTGATGTAGCTGGGCAGAGAGAGGAAATGAGATGGCCGAACAGAAAGGCATATAGTGTGGATATACAGGAAGTAGGTCTCTTTGGAGATTGAGGTGTTGGTGACGTGAGGTTGTCTGTGGCTTGTCTTATTCTCTCTGATCTCTCAGTTTTTCACCCCAATATCTGGCTCTGGGTTTTTATTAATAAGACCATTTAGCAATTCATCTACAAATCAGACCTTCTGAATATTACTTTTAAGCAAATTTAATCTCTCTCTATATAGTTAATTTTGGTTCATTTTCTAGACATCAACTACATTTTTGGGTACTTGGAAGACTCAAGTGCTCATGCATTATTTATTGCCTGAGCCACTAAATTAGAAAATCATTGAGGATGACCATTTTCTTCTAAGGGCTCAGTCCCTATTAAATTTAAATTTCCTACTTCTTTGTATTTTTCTTTTAAAATCCGTTTTCTGTTCAATCACACATAGGCAAAAATCTATGAAATGTTAAGTTAGAAGTTGATGTTTACTTTGGACCTTGGTTGTACTAAGTTATTTTATAGCAATGTACTATGTAGACCAGTTTGGGACAATGTATATATAATCTCAGCTCTATTGCTATGGTCATAATTTTCAAAAACAAAGAGTTGAAAAAGTCTGTCAAATTTAAGATCTTATAGAGAGAGCTTATGCATTCTCTATACTTAAAAATTGCAAGATCCTGAAGAAATCTTTCTTTTAATAAGTATGTACTAACTTAGAAAACATTGAACTCAAATTGTCAAATGACCATAGTGAAGCCTAATTTTGTATTTTCCTCCAGGTAACTCAAGTTAAAAAGCAAAAAGTGGAAGACATTAATTTAACAAGCCAGAGCAGCCCTGAAGCAATTCCTATCAATTCATTTGTAATCGACTGGCAATGGTAAAATGTTTTACTTCTATAAGCTTCACGAGTTCTCTACATGAACATGGATCTAAAACAAAACCAAACTCAAACTCACCCCACAAAGAGCCACAGCAGATCTCAGATGAGAACTCCTTTTCATACACATGGATTAGTGGTTTGTTATATGCTGGGGAGACACAGAGTGGGTTAACATTTACTTCAAATGCTGGCTGAGGAGGTTTTTCAGGCACCTCAACAAATCCAGCTTATACTACAAATGGAAAGGCATTAGGACAAATCACTGATCTATATACTAAATGTGCCAAGTATTTCCATAACGGAGATGGCCCTCAAAGTTTGGTTTCCTTATTGTATTTCATCTTTTATGTAAGTTTTAGTAAATTCTTAACTCATTAGAAAATGCAAATCGTGGTGGTTAAAATACACTGCTGAGTATGGATGTGATTTGTGGCTTTGATTATATTGCAAAACCAATAATTGAATGAAGGATTCAAGTTCTTAATTGCGGGTCAAATCTATTCATCATAAAGATTCAGTGATAGCTGGGTATGATAGCAAGGGCCTGTGATCCCAGGAAGATGAGGAAGTCAGTGTCAATAACAGTTATAGAATGAGCTCAATGCCATCTGGGTTACATGAGACTCCCAAAAATGTAAGGAAAAAGAAAAGATTTCACTGAGGAGTAATTTAAAAAACTTATGTATGATTTACTTATTTAAGTACATATGTTGTGGTTGGTTTTCTCCTTCTACCATGTCGGTCTAGGGGAATAAACTTGTTAGGCTTGATAGCAAATATTTTTACCTTACAACTCATCTTGCCAGCCTGAGGAATAATTTTTTAAAGGCATTCATCAATCTCATCTTATAGCAAATCAATATTCAAATTCTTTGATTTACCACACACCATGAATTACTGTACGAGCAAGTATAAGCATTCAGCATGGGAAGATCATACCAGAAATACTTACAGGTGTCACTCGCAATGTCGGTATCAGAAGCAGAAGCAGACTCTCTGGAAGATGAGTGGACGATAGGAAAACCCACTGTTGCTGCTGACTCTGATATATCATTGGGATTTTCACCATCAAGTGTGAGGGATGCGTTATCCAAGACAATTGAGTCTGAGGTCTCAGTTCCAACATCTGATTCCTGTAAGGAGACCAAAGGCCATTTTAATCTATTTGGTTAATATCAGGAAAACATGCTATGGGTGACTTGAAAATTTGAATGCAAAATCTGTAATATATTCATCCTTAAAACTCCATATTTGCTAAAATATATTCAGCAGTGTCATCAGAGAAGTAAGCTATTATTGGGATACTGTGAAGGGAGAAATAGAAGGAGCATTAAGTTGCCAAATGTACAATTTCAGATCTAATATTTGTGGAAATCTACCAGGTTCTATGCTAGTACCCTTATTTATCTATCTCCATGAACATTTACCACAACATAAAAAAATAAATACCATTGTCTCTGATTCTGCTATAAGGAAAAAAACTTAGAGAAATTAAAAGTTTTCTGGATCAGAGAGCTGGTATGTAGGGGCTCTAAAGTTTGAAAGGAATCCAATTCCAAAATGTATATGCCAAATAACCACTTTGAAAAAAGAGCACACCATGAGGGTATCTCATCCATTAATTTAAGATGTCTACAGAGCTGGGTCTGGAGGCACATGCATATATTACTGGCATGTGCAAGGCTGTTATCATGAGTCTTAGGCCAGCCTGGGCTAAATAATAAGTTCCAGATTTAGCATGGGCCTACAGAGCTAGATCCTGGTCCTAAAACTGTAAAAAATTAAAACAAAACAATACAAAACAAAAAATGAGAACACAACAAAACAACAAAAAAAAAGATGGCTTAAGAGAACTGATAGTAAGAAGAACCATGAGGGGCATGTGGTTCAAATGATCAAAAAAAAGATATAAAAAAATCAACTTATAACAATCCTAGAGTAAACATATTTCATGCTTCCATTGATGGAGTAGACACTCAAGGAGAAAAGCCTCCAAGTGTTATGATTCTATATTCAATATGTGAAAAAATTATCAACTCTCTGTTGAGGTTATTGAAGGTCAGGGGAAGAACTAGGAGTTAATCATTTGTGAAGATTAAAAATCTACCAGCCTAGATGTCTAACTGATTAATTGGAAAACAAAAATGTGGTATGTATTCATACACAATGGGATTTTATTCAGCCACAAAGAAAATGAAGTCATGAAAATTTCAAAATAATGGATGGGTGTGGAAATTATTATATTAAGGGTTATAATTCTACTCAGAGGAAAACATACTTCCAGTTCTTTATGATAGACACACAGATGCTAGATTTTAGTGTGTGCGTGCGTGCGTGCGTGTGCGTGTGTGTGTATGTAGTATAGATGTGTGTGTATGTAGTATAGAACCAGAAGAGATTGTCAGTGAGAGGGAGAGAGATTTTAAGGAAGAGTAATGGGGGAAATGGGTCAACAGAATACATGCAACCTAAGAGTTGAATGGAGGGAAAATGTATAGTTGAGGGGGGATGAAAGGAAGAGGTGGACCAAAAATAACTAAGTATTAGGGAAATGCCATAATGAAATCCATCACTTTACGTGCTACAAAATATTAATAAATAGTTAATGCTAATGGCTGCACACTATTGTATGTGTCTAAAATGTTATCGATTTGAATACTTGGAAAGTTTCAGTTAGTGTATTGTACAGCTATGAATAATATTACCAGTACCTTGAAATATTTCCCCAAGTGTATGATCTAACTTAAAATGACAAAATAAAACAGTGTTTTTTGTTCTTGAAAAGTATATAGGAACCATCAAATTGTATGTAGTGAAGATCCCATGCACTTACAATTTAATTGTATTATTTTAGTTATTTCAGGATCTGGGATACAAGAATATAATCAATGTCGAACAGCTGCAATGTTATATAACATGTGCTGATATACTTTTAAAAGAGAAGTAATTCTTGCCTTCAAATGCGTCATTACCTCCTGTACATGTTCAAAATCCTGAAATATATGTTGATCCAGTCCTGCACCATCCCTCTGTGAGTGAATTTCTTCGTCAAATCCAAATGCTCCATGCTCTTCACTGCTTCCATTGGCTCCTCTATATCTGTTTCCTCCATGGGCTCCATGTCCATCCTGGCTTCTAAAGGCTGCACTCGCTTCCCCAGCAGAGTCGCCACGGTAACTTTTGGCTCCATTGTTTCTATAGGGTCTGAAAGCCCCCTGTTGTACATTACCTCTACCAGTGTGCTTCAATATTCCCCCTCTGCGATAGCTTGCTCTGTTACAAGGACATATTAATGAAAGAAGGCCATTCAATAAAAACACAAATCAAAGCCAGAAAATGAAAGAGAAATCAGATTTTACACACACACACACACACACACACACACACACACACACACACACACTCACATTATGCTCAGGAATGTTTTTGCTATATGATGTGAATGCTTTGGTCTTATATACACACGTGAAAAATTCCTCAATTCCTTGCCAATATTAAATACTGAATTAACATGATAGCCACTGTCAATTCTTTGTCATCATTGTGGTGACAGAAAAAAATGAACTGCACTTTGTTATTAGGTACACGTGACTGGTTAGTGCAGGAAATACTCATTTTCTTAAATAATTGAATAGTTTATCAATAACTTACCATCATCTTAGTGATCACAGTGATATTAGAATATTTTTCAGCATTCTAGACTATGTTAATTTTAACATATGCTTTCACTTAGTTACATATATACCAAGAGCTCTGCTATGGACCCTGGTCAATACTCTCACCAGAAAGTTCAAGTGATATAGGCTTCATATGTTAGAGGATGAGTAAGATAATCACATAATCAGGGTTTATAAATGTTAAGTCTTTTAAATGACCAATATAATTCATTTTGCATGGAAGACAATATTAAACATATTTACCTATGGTGATTATAAAAGAAAATCTGTATGAAAATGGAATTCTTTTTAGATTTTATATCTGGGGAAAATATACAAAAGGACTTTTGGTAACTTCATCAATTAAACGAATGAAGACCATCCTAAATTGCTTAGATACATGACAAAAATCTCAACTCTCTGGGAAATGCTTAGCAATTCTTTCAAATAGAAGTAGAACACTTCATTTTTACCCCATTTCTCATTGTGATTTTTATAGGGAGGGAGATTTAGTGGCATTAATTTAAAGAGAAACACTGAGACAATCCCAGTTATCAAGAAACTAATAAATAATTGAATTTAAATTGTATATAAATAGTTCAGTTACATGTTCTACACCAGAAAAATTTAAATTACAATACCGAACACTTACCAATATGTAAGTACAATTAATTAATTCTCTTAATATTATGTTACATTTAAAAATAAATCAAATATGCCAATAGTTCTGAACTTATAGGCATCTATGGTATAATAACAGAGACAAACGAACCTTGGCCCATTGGTAGCAGCATCAAAATTATCATCTATGCCACGAACAGACCCAGCATCACAGCCAGCACCACGGGCTTTACAGACATTTGCCTGATCAACCTGGTTATTCAAGTCATCACGGCCATTGAAATGGTCATAGGTATCTTCATAAGCATCATTAGAAGCTTCCTCATCACCATCAGTATTAGCACCAGCATCATAGAGTTCAACATAATCACCATCTTCTTCAGGTGGCTGAACGACAGGTGCAGGAATTAACCAGTCATCCCAGAAGATTTCAGAGTGTGCATTACAGCCTACCCATTCATTTGTCAAGTATACAGGGGGTGATATTTTCCCCACTTTAAATCCATCTGGAACCTGTGTGCACAAGAAAGGTTAAGGTAGTCTCTAATAGCTTCTCATTGTTTTTTAGATATTGGAAGTTTCCAAAATGACAACATTTTAAAACATGTTAAAATTATATTCTTTACTGAAACAAAGATGTCCACCCAATACACAGAGCAAATATTTTAGTGAAGATGAGTTGCCCAAATCCAAACATTAGTAATTAGTAGTGGACTTTGTAGATCACACAGCAAATTTACTCACTGTTTATTAACCCTATTGCCTGCTGAGGAGTAGACAGCAGGACAGTATGATGCTGGACAGTATGCTCTACACAAAATCTGTTTTTTCTTTTGGTTTATCCTAACACTGAGATTAAAGTATCACTCTTGAAATAGGTTATTTTCCCAGTTTTGTCTATATATGCCATATAGTATCTTAAATTATTTCTATTGCCTCCAAAAAGCTAAAGAAAACAAGTGTAATTCTTATGTTAGGCATAAACATGTATATGATAGAGCGTTATGAAAATAAAACAATATGATCTGAAAGCACACTGAAAAAGTTTAGGGAGGCCTTTTACTTATACAATCAGAAGACACTACTTTTCCACTAATATTTTGTCTCCTTATCTAAGGAACACTATTAAACAACAGTTGAAAATGTAACTTATATCTCTTGGTCATAGCTTAGTTTTTGGAAGTATGTTTGTCAATCTTCTTTCCTATATATTCTATCTCTGTTTTGTGTGGTACTGGGATTGAACCTAGAGACTTGAGTATGCTACGCAAGCATTCTACCACCAGACTATATCCTCAGCACCTCTCATCAACACATTCTAACAAAAATGTGAAAATACAATATTGTTTAATCAGATAAGTGCTTTTTCCCATTTCAATTTTAAATTCAAAATTTTATATTCTGAGTACTTGCCTAACAATATGATCTTTAAAAATAAAGATTATAAGACACATTTAAACTCCTTTACATTTCCATTTAAAAATACTTTATGTGTATAAGTGTTTGTCTGTGTGCATGTATGTGTACCTTGTACGTGCCTGGTGTACACAAAGGCCAGAATAGGGTGTTAAATCTTCTGGAACTGGAATTGTAGATATTTTGAGTCACTGTATTTACTCTGGAAAACAAACCCTAATCTTCTGAAAAAAAAAAGTGCTGAGTCGAGCCTTTTGTCCATGCCTAGCCTCCATGTTTTAAGGGCAGAAAGAATAGGCCAAACCAAACTGATACTAAAAGTAGGTATAAATGCATCATGAGATAAACCTACATGGATATCAATCAGTAACTTCTGATCAATAGTAGAGTAAGGCGGCGATGACTGGGACTTCCTCCTAGTCACAGGACTCTCCTCCTCAGAAGATGACTCTATGGAGTGCCAAAAGAAGTACATTAGTAACAACAGCGATTTCACAACTGCTTCAGTGTGTAGTGGATCAATTAAACACATTACTGCTATTCTTTCAGCTATTGTCATTCTGTTATGGAAATACCACCTCATATTAAAACCTACTGTGGCTGTTATTCTGAGTTCTGCTTTCAAGGGTACTAGCAGGCTCAAGTTTTGTTCACGCTGTAAACTTACAAGGCATTTTTGTCTTCAATATTTAGTGTATATTTGATAAATCTATTAACCTTCCCGGTTTTAACCAAGTTGTGACTTCCCAAGTATATATATATATATATATATTTGTTTTTCGAGACAGGGTTTCTCTATGTAGCTTTGTGCCTTTCCTGGAACTCACTTTGTAGCCCAGGCTGGCCTCAAACTCACAGAGATCTGCCTGCCTCTGCCTCCTGAGTGCTGGGATTAAAGGTGTGCGCCACCACCACCTGGCCTCCAAATATTTCAATAAAGATGAAGAGTGAGATAACGAAAATTATAAAACTTAACTATGTACCACACATAATTTGTGAAACAACTTTCTCTGGTGTTGGAAACATTCTGTGACTGTTTGGCTAATGGACATTTGAGAGTACTGAATATTAACCACTAGACCACCAGGGGAGCTACTGAGCATCTGAAACATAGCCAGTGCACCTAAGAAACAGGCTGTTCAAATGTTTATTTCAGTTTTGGTTTAGTTTTCATTTTAATAATGCCATGTGGTGTGGCTATTTACTGTCACATTGGACAGCACAATTCCATTATGATAATATTTCTATTTAAAATACAAGTTCTTCCAGTTTGTCAATATAGGTTTTGAAAACTGTGATGAGGTAAATAATAAGTTGCATTAAAAATCCAGTGAGAATATTTAATAGGCTCAGAAATCAGTGGCGTCTAGGTGAACATACTTATTATAAAAAGTTTTCCCAAAGGAATACTGGATCCATGTTTATTTCTAGGGATATTAACTATAAATATTACTGCCCTTCCTTTATCTGCAAACTAACTATATATACTCAAAGTCTAAACACTACAAATTAAAACCCATGCATTTGTAATGCTGCTATCTTTTTAGAATGTCATACTCCATATCTTAGAATGTGCAGTTTTGCTGTTTATTATTTTTTTCAGGAAGTAATTCTTTCAAGTCTTTTAGAGCAGAAGGAGACCGACTGTAAAGGTGGAGTGTCTGATGATTTCTCTGGCACATTGACAGTGAGGTGACTTCCTCTCTGAGGAAGCCTAATCTGCTGGGAATCTCAGATGCTCTGTGTCATACACACAAGTGTCTCAGCCCTGAAAGGTTTAGCTCTTATTTGCAGACATAGTACTGCTTCCTTCTCCTATGTTGATGGATTATTTTATTTCAGAAAGGCAAGTGAGTGAACTGTAAAATTGATGTGTTTGCCATAGATTAGCAAATTTATACCTGACCAAACTAGAAGGAAAACATTCCTAGTATTTTGCCTTATCTTTTCAGAACATCTTTCTATGTGAGAATACAGTATGAAAAGAACTCTTTCATCATATTACTCTCCTAAGCTGGAATAGGGTTTTAAAATTCAGAAATTTGAATATTTGGTATTCTATATCCCTTATGATATAAACATTTAGCAAAAATCTGTATGCTGCAATTTTTATAAATAATGTGAAGGCTTGGTCAGGAAATGCCCTCTAATTAAACTTATCTTGCATGCTTAAAACTGGAAAATGTCAGATTTTTATGACTTAATGCACAACTTTTTGATTTCTCATACTGTCTAAAAATGTATAATAAATTTCAAGTCTATTAAATGCACATCATCAATAAAATATTTGATTGAAATTGATACCAAAATTTGAGAAGCACTCTTGGTATTACTTGATTATTATTTTTTCATGTATTTTGAATAAAGCCATCGCTTTGTATCATGTAAGAAATATTTATGTGATATTGTCTATCATATTTTGGAGAGGTGAAATAAAATGACAAGTAAAGCTTATTCTCACAATTATTCTATTATATTGTAAATGTAGGCTAATAAATTTTGGCTAGTTGAATAGTCTTTCAAGTTCTTTAACATATTATCTCATGTTGTATAGGAACTAAATGAAATGATCACTTTTCATTTCTCAGAGGTCACCACTAACCACTCATATACTGAATCAAACCAACTGCTTGTCTTAATACTGCTTGATCTCCTTAATATTTTTCATTCACTCTTTCTGGAAATTCTTCTTTACTTCTGAAACATAAGCTGTTAAATATTAGGCCTATGTATTTAACTTTGAGTTCTGAATCACCTGATGCTGCTTGGTAATTCTGAGGATATAGGGAACTCCTCTGTCTGACGTCCATGGGCTGCTGAACTTCTTCGAAAAGAGGATGCTGAGAGACACTAAAATGATGAATAGACCAAAGGTTTAACGAAGATGTGTTTATAATGATGATAAGCATATTATGATGTTTTACCTTCATCTCTTAAAAAGAAAAGAAAGACAGGAAGGGATGTGCCACATTCTAAAATGCTCAAGAGCACATATAACTCAACACAGAAAGATTTTCTTAAAATTATATATCACACTGAAAAAAGGTAGAGCTTGGATATTATATTCAAATTGTAATTTCTGAAACCTAGTTTATCTATGATAGAGAAACAGTTTCCATGTGTGGAAACAAATAAAAGAAAGCACCTTTCAATATAGTATACATTTTTTTCACATAGAATATACTTTCTGTAAGTGTTCATAGCAATATTCATATAAAATTACCCAGATAACATCAGCAAACAAAATCTTCTAGTGCATAATAGAGTTTATTTATTTATTTATTTATTTTTGGTTTTTCGAGACAGGGTTTCTCTGTGTAGCTTTGTGCCTTTCCTGGAACTTGCTTTGGAGACCAGGCTGGCCTCGAACTCACAGAGATCCGCCTGCCTCTGCTTTAAGATTTATTTATTTATTACAGTGTTCTGCCTGTATGTGTCCCTGCAGGCCATAAGAGGGCACCAAATCTCATTACAAATGGTTGTGAGCTGCCATGTGGGTACTGGGAATTGAACTCAGCACCTCTGGAAGAGCAGCCAGGGCTCTTAACCTCCGAGCCATCTCTCCAGTCCACATAATAGAGTTTTAATATGGCAAGTACAAAGAGTTTTTTTAATTACAGATATCCCACTGTTAGCCTGTTTTTATTTTCCCATAATTCATGTTTTAACTATATTGTTCCTGGTTGAATAGGTAAAAGTTTGGATACATAAACACATCCATTTTTACTATTAAATTCAAGTGCCAGGGTAGATACTTTTATTTGCTTTCAGTTTTCTATCTAGGACGAATTTCCTTTGTTAATTAATTTTATAACAGACAAAAGACATTAGTATGGCACATCTCTTCAGAAAAAAATTCAAGACTCATTTACAGTAATTTTATAAACTTATTTTTGTTTGTGAGTTCATTATAGTTTTATGCTTTTTATAAATTTAAACATACTTAAAGGAAACACATTTGTTAATAATAAATTAATCTGTTTGTAAACTTACCAATCACTCTCAAATTAACATTAAGTTTAAGTTGTATATACGGAATTGTATTAAAATTATGTTTGATGGCACTAACAATCTATTAAAAATAACCTGATTTTTTTCTCTTTGAGGTCAGAAGTATCATGGTAACTCAGGTTTTGAATGTAGAGAAAAAGAGTTCCCAATATTAATTTCTAATTTTTAAAAGTTTCTCCCTCAGGTTTCATGTGAAGATATAAAGTCAAAAGCTTTAAAAATAATGTTGTATGGCTGTGCTTATTATATATGAATTCTCTGTCATCTGCCCATACTGTGCAGTATCTTTAATTTTAATTTTATTTCATTTGTATTTTTTCTTGAACATTTTACTGTATTATGTGGCGAGTATATAATTAATAAAATCCAAATTAATTTACTTAGGGGCAAAATGTTTGGAACACTGATTATGACATACTTTTTTCAGTGTGTGTGTGCGTGTGCACACACCTGGAAGTACAAACATGTCATGCCACATATGTGGAAATCATAAGGACAACTTGTGGAAGCTGGTTCTCTCCTTTGACTGTATGGGTTGTGGGAACTGAACTCAGGCCATTAAGTTTGATACAATGTGCTTTTACTCACCAAGCCACCTCACTGGCCCTGTCTAAAATCTTTAATATAAGGAATGCTCAATAAATATTTACTGAATGACTGACTGAATGAACCTAGGCTAAGGTCTCTTCATGTGAGTTTGGTCCATCTTAAAAATTGTCTTTCACATATAATGCATTGCACAGAACACCTGACTTATGGAACATAATCTTTAAAAATTACTGGATCCAACAATACTACAAAGATTAAAACTGCAATGAACAGTTTCTATGTTGCACATTTCATCTTATTTATAGGACAACGATTCACATATTTGATTTTGACCTCAGAACATTTTCAGGCTTTCTGGTTCTGTGGCATTAGCTTCTGAACATATGGATAATTTGTTTTAATATGTTGTACACATAAGAAAACTTACCTGGCATTTATTAAATCCTACTGCTAAATGAATAGTATCAAATAAGTTGTTGTGATTACTTCTTTTACTATATTTTCAAAATCGTTAGGTAATTATTGAACTGAGTCACATGGACTAGACTATGAAAGCTGTTACTGGAAGATATTCTTATTGGATCACTGCAGTTAGGTTTTTAAATGTAAGCCAATTTTAGCAAATTGTCATGATGTGAGTGATAATTTAGTTTTGACTGCACATGGAAATTAATTTCAAAGAAACAAAATTTTGTTTTTTACCTACAGTTACCACAAGCAATTTAAAAACAGAAACACATACCTTGAAGAAAATTTCACACGGTGTGTACGATTCCGGTTGCAAGGAATAGAAGCAGATCTCTCTTGGACCTTAGAGATGCAACAAAATCAATAGTTTGATGAAGTTCTTGACCATAAATTCTTTTGTGTTATTAATTTATTAGGTAATTAATTTCTTCACATATATTTTCCCCAAATCTAACTTAAAAACACAATTTTTTAAGCCGAATTATTTTTTATAACTATAACCTTAGAACTTATAGACCAAAATTTCTGATGTTTTCTTTGAACATTAGCATAGGTGCAGACTCTGGAAACAATATAATCAAAACTTTTCATTTTAGCTGGGCAGTGGTGGTGTACACCTTTAATCCCAGCACTCCGGAGGCAGAGGCAGGCAGATCTCTGTGAGTTCGAGGCCAGCCTGGGCTACAGAGTGAGTTCCAGGACAGGCTCCAAAGCTACACAGAGAAACCCTGTCTCAAAAAAACAAAACAAAATAACCACAAAAAAACCTTTTCATTTTATTATTGAGTCGTCATTAACCTAGAAAAAGATAATGACATTTCTAAAAATTTACAGGTCAAAATAAAAATCTAAAACCAGTTTACTTTTCAACCAAAAATTAAGAATTTAAGTTCAAACTCATGCCTGTCTAAACTAACTCTAAATTTTCACAAATAAAATTTGTTATAGTTTCTTTGAGAAAGTATGTCATAATAAGTGTTCCAAATACTTTTTGCCTCTAAGTAAATTATTTCGGTTTTTTATAACCATACACTCATTTACTATAATAAAATACTCAAGAAAGAGCACATACAATGTTGGCTTACATCAATGGAGTAGATTTTCTTTCTGTTAACAATAGCAGGCAGATCCGTAGTCTGTTGCCTTGTCTCATTTAGGTTTAAATCACTAAGTTTTACCCCCAGTAATTTTCTGCTATGCCCCCCAATAGGCCATTCTAACATGCAATAAAAAAGTCACTGGACTCTTTAAAGAGGAAATTACATCATGTTTCACTTAACAAAAACTAGCATATTGTAAAAAAAAAAAATCCTCTAATTCCTAGAACTGTACTTAGCCTTCATACATTAGTGTGCCCTATGAAGTGATTTATCAAAGTTGTCCTTGTACTTCAACAGATAGATTGGTGAGAAATCAAAAACACTGTAGGTATTTCATGTTTGGCTAACAAGCAATTCCAAATGTAACCAGATGTTTTGCAGTATGCATGATGAACATCTTCCTGAATAACTTTTTCTTATTTCAGTTTAGACAATTGGTATTATCCTGATCAACTCTATGTCTTTCATGAAGTTGATCTCAGGAACTTTCTATTTTATTCAAATATTTTAATTTTTATTGTATACTGGGTCTCCCTATGTTTCCCAGGCTGTCCTAAAATTTCCGAGCTCAAATGATCCTCCTGTCTCTGCCTCTCCCAATAGCTGAGACTACGGATACGTAATGTCACCACAGCAGTGTCAAGAAACTAAGTGACACTTATTAAATGAATGTCAAAAATCACTAAATGTGTATAATAGCAAAAAATGAAAAGGCAAGGCTTAATATGACTTGACGTTCTTTGTTATTAAAAATGGGAGACAGAAAGTAATTAGTGTGAATTGCATATATTAAGACAAAACATGTTCCAAACCAAACAATGCTCATTCATTGCATGTCTTGCTCAGTGTCAATAACTACCATCTGGGAATACAAGCAAAGCCATGTGTTAAGGCAGCAAGGGAGATATTATTGACTGTTCTCACTAACTGACACAATCCCACTTATCTTCCTTCTGTAAATATTTAGTACTTATAAAACAATAATCTTGCCAGGCAGTGGTGGCACACACCTTTAATCCCAGCACTCGGGAGGCAAAGGCTGGCAGATCTCTGTGAGTTCGAGGCCAGCCTGGGCTATAGTGTGAGTTCTAGGAAAGGCACCAAAGTTACACAGAGAAACCCTCTCTCGAAAAACCAACCAATCAACCAACCAAACAAACCAAAAAAACTCCCCCAATAATATTAACTAGTCAACCAAGACTTAGTATCTAAGAAACTATATTTCAAAAGTCTTGACAAATTTCATAGTAGACTCTTGTGAAGTATCTGTGCTGATCGTTAACAATGTGACTCCTAAACTACCGTCACCAGAGGAATGTTAGTATTATTTATTCATGTACTAAATAATCTCAGTCACCAAAAATAATTTGGGATGTTGGCTGTTAGGAATGCAAGTCATGAGAATGCTACCATATCTAAATAACAAGTGAATTCACATCCTCAGTCTCACAAATATGTGTTATGAATACTGTATTATTTGATGTGGTCATCAAAACAGAAGTAACTGTGACATGTAATCATTTAATTTTTGTGTGTGTGAGAAAATGAATCATAGATTAACTGACCCAGATTTGTAACTAATAATGCACCAAGAACAGACACTATCAAGATAAAGGATGACATTTGGTTATCTTACACTTTGAACTACTCACATTTTGATATGAAATACTGTATTTTTAAAAAACACTGAAAAGCATTCTTACTTGAACTATGTGCATATGCTAGATATTTTAAATGAAATAAGTTTGCAAACTTAAGAAAAATCAAAGTGATGCCATTTGCCAGCAATGATAAAAACATGAGCTTTCAAGGTAAAATTGTAAATTAGTATCTGTTACTGAGTACTTGACAGCTTATGAATACTCAATTACATTTCTGGTAAAATTGGTAGTGCTGTTTTGATATTGTAAAATGGAATGTAAACATTTGGGAGAATCTGTGAACTAATATTTTCTACTTGATGAATACATGAATTTAGAAATCATGTATAAGTGAAATATCTATTCATAGTACAAGATATTGGAATGGATTTTAATATACAAATTAATTACATTGATACAAATTAATTAGTTATACAAAATTTTATGAATATGATTTTAGATTCCATTTGTCTAGTTTGGGGATGTTACCAAAGAATATGCACAAGTATCTGAAGGAAAAATCTACAACAGTCACAATTATCTGAAAATTTTATACAAAATTCCCCTTTCTAGCAATCTATAAGTAACAAGCCAGCTCTTACACATATATTTCAAGCAAAACACCATATGGCCACAGATTGAATTATGAAGTAGATATGAATATCCAGCTGTTTTCTATTAAGCAAGGCAGATTAAAAGGATTTGAAAATATGAGACAATGACACCCCTATAATAATATTTTAGACAAGATAAATATTTTTCATTTATATTTATTTACCATGTTAAATGTATTTGTACCTTTTTATTTTTATTTTAATTTTCAGTAAGTTAGGTAGTTAATGACATAATGAAAAAGCTTTATAGAATTCTCAATATTTAAGATTATAAAGTGATCCTGAGAGCATTAAGTTTAAGAGGCACTTTTCTAGGTACTTATTAATGTCATAACATCTCATATTGAGAAATTTACCTCATTTCCTGTAGGATTTGGAACGTATGGTTCTATTTGGACTTCAGCCTGAATTGAATGAAACACTTCATCATTGTCTGATGAGTCATCTTCTTTATCCTTTGAAACAAAAATCATATAAATATTTAAATGACTGTGAGAGTGCAAGTGATAGGAACAACAGAATCATCATCTTAATTTGTGATGAATAATTTCCAAATGAATTATTTAAACAAGTAGCTTCTAACAGTTTTTGGTTAAGGATCCCTTTTCAAGCTGAGAAAGGGTACCGAATGCTCACAAAAAACTGCAAATAGTCACACACGTTTGCATAGATTTGCAGGCGAACTGTTAGGTTCCTGAAGCTTATCTAGGGGTTCTAAATTAGGAATCTGATTTACCACTTGATTAGCACATAATCACAACCTAACTTTCTCATTTGGTGAGTTGTTATAAGTCTAACATTTGGTCCTGAGTAGAGGAAGATCTGTGATACAGAGGTGCAAATATTCCTCCTTAAATTAAGCTCTGAGTTAAGAAATTGTTCAATCAAATGAATCAACCACCATTATCTAGTCCAATTATAAGGAAAAATGTATTCATTTTCCTTACTAGTATGGCAAAGCGCTCAGACATGTCTCTAAATTCTAATTAAATTTCATGTATTTCATATTCATGTATTTCAAAAGAACTATGTCTTTAGTATGAAGAATTTTATTTCTTTTAAGTTATTTTTAAGGAATACATATAAAGATATGTATATGAGAACCTAGGCTCATAGGATGGTAGCAATTGTTCACTGACTTATTTACATTTTGAAATAGCTTCTCATACATACATACACACACACATATATACATATATATATATATATATATATATATATATATATCTCCAAAACAATGACAATAAGTATGCTCTCTTCTGCTAATATTAAGCATATTTCCAGAATAAATACAAGTCTTGTTCACTGATGCAAATCCCATTAGCTCTAATTGGTTAAGAGAGCTCATTGAGAACAGTCATTAGCTGTTAGATGCCTTTATTCATGTTACATACCACCATTTCAGACTCATGTCTCCTCTTCTGCATATGATTTCTATCTCTTTATATTCTGGGAGTGATGCATCCATTTCTCCTTTTGAGTCATTTTTTTCTGGTTTTTAAAATCTTGTCTCATGTAAATGTGCCAGGGAATTATCATTTGTTTAATAGATTTAATGTGCACACACCTAAATAATTACTTATCTAGATACTCAGGCAAGGTTCAGTTGTAATCACTACATCAGTTATTATTTAAGTGGATGTGGTTAATTGTTTAATCATCATATAATAATTCCTTTTATACAAATAATAGTAAAAAATTATTAGAAAACAACTATTCTCCTGTTTCCTGACCTTACTAATTTGCTTATCAAATCTACAGATTATTCAATATCAGATTAATATTGCCAGATAAAATTCAACAAAGCCTGTCAAATTTTATTCACCTACATATGGGAGTTTTGAAGAAGTGAAGTTTTATTGATTGATCCTAAATGAGAAGTTAAATTCTACTTGTTTTCTGGTCTGTGCAGTCACATCATTGAATAATTGCATAAAAGCATGGGTGCATTAAGAAGATAAGTAATAAATATGACAACTACTACAGAGCATTTTGGAAATTAGTTTTGTTCTAATTTTTAAAAAGATTTATTTATTTTTATTTTAATTTATTTGTATATGTATTTTTGCCAACATGTATGTGCATAGTGTTTGTGGAGACCAGAAGGTAGTATGAGATTTTCTCTGAAACTGAAGTTATCGATCACTGTTAGATGCCATGTGGTACTGGGAACTGAACCTGAGTCCTCTGAATGAGCAAGTGCTCTTAATCTCTGAGTCATCTCTCTAGTCCTGACTTGTTGTTTTTATTTAATCTCAATTTAAATGTCTCAAAGTACAAATAAATGCAATTCACACATGTAGTGCAGTCCAGCATTCAATTGCAAGAAATAACAAATAAGCAACTTCAAATTAAAAGAAAATTTATTTTTATTTATGTGTATGTGTCTACTTTAATTCATTTGCACCATATGTGTGTAGAAGCTCATGGAAGACAGAAGGTTTCAGGCAGTTATGAGCTGTTATGTGGGGTTCTGGGAATTGAACTTATGTCCTCTGCAGGAGCAGTAAATTCTCTTGTCTGAGGGGCTGTATTCTAGTCCCAGAAAGTTACATATTGAGGAATAAAAATGGAGGCAACTTTGGAATTTTAAATTAGGAATGTTTCAAGAGTCAAAATAATTATTTTAAGTGTTTGTATGCTGTCCCATTACTGGTTTAAGGAGTAATTGGTAAAACAAAACAAACCCCTAATAATTAAGGCAAAACTCCTATAGAGATACATTCAAACCATTACTTGTATTATTAAAGCAATTTTTCCTTTTTTGATCACAACTATCTGGAGATTTCAGACTGATTCATTTGAAGTGCAAATTAGTAAATCTTTGGTAGAGCATGGAGTATTTATTTCATTGTGCTTCAGGGAGGAAAATTGTAGGCACTAACTAGCACATTTTCTTAATAGTTTTCACTCAGGAAAAATATCAAAATCTCTTACATTTTCAACCTGTCTCAATTCCTCTTCATGCTGATTGAAGATGTCCTCCCATCTACGCTGGCGCCGTCTCCTGCTGGCTTCTACATCTGAAAGTTCAAATTCCTCAATTCTCCATAAGGACTTTGCCCTGAACCTCTTGGGTGATAATCTTTTCACCAGTGCTTGCTTTAGACTAGCAACTTTGGATTTTTTCTTCCGTGTCTGTTCTGGTTGAGTGTAAAACGCATCTGAAGACAAATTTTCCAGCAAGATTTGCAGTGGACCCAGTGGTTTTGAGATAAATGCATTTGGTGCTTGAAGCAAGTCCCTTGACAGTCCCTCTATCAGTGCTTGAACTGCACCAATAGCCTGTGAGGCCTCTAGAGCCCAGGCCTGTGCCGGAGGTGACTCTTCATTTTGTTCCCCCACCGGAATTAGCACTTGGGTGTCCAAGTGAAGAGGCAAGAGCACATGATGGTTCTGTGACAATAAAGGCAGGAACACCTGGGCATGTACTTGGAGTACCTCAGGTTCCTTTTCCTCAATCTCAGCTTGGGGAGGCTCAACAGCCTGTTCTTGCACCTCTGGCTGCTCAGGTGCCCTATTCTGCTCCGGATTCTGCTCAGGAAGTGGATCCTGCCTCTGCTGTTGTTCAGCAGCCTGGCCCTGCCTCTGCTGTTCAGGTGCTCTATCTTGCCCCGGAAATTCTTCTGGCACCTGGTCCAAATCTTTAAGCTGTCCTGCTTCTAAGGCCTCAGACTGCTGTTCATTGGGTACAGGAGCCTGCATCTCTGGTTCTTTATCCTCAGTAGGGAGTGGCATGAGCACCCGGGCTGCTTTCTTTAGTCGGGGAGGTGCTTGAATCCGCTTGAATACTGGTGGGGATGCCTTAGCTTTAACCTGAGCCTGTAATGGCCTGAACACCTGAGCTGCCACATGTAGGAGGCGCTGCGGTGCCTGAGCCTGCTTCTGTAAAGGCCTGGGTGTATTGTCCTCAGCACGGAGAGGCAGGAACCCCCTGGCTGCCCCCTGCAGCTGCTGAAGTGCTTGGAACCGTGGCTCTTCTTCATCAGGTAACCACCTTGGCTGAGGGGGTTCTCCATGCGGGATTCTAAGTGGTCTGCATCTGCTGCTATTTGGCATTCTCAGGAGTTCATGAGTGCAAGAAGGTCCTCTAAAATAAACACACAGATGACTGTCATATAATAAGAGAGTTCAGTGGAACTAGGTCATGCATGAGAATTGATTTAACTTTTAAAAGATAGAGCCCCCCTCCACAAAGATAACAATTCCTGCAAAGTCTGAAATAGTCTCCAGGTAATATGTGTAACGTTAATGGATTAAATCCTTAATGTAGGTTGGTATTGCACATGATCATTCTATTGATATGTAGGAAGTCATTTTGGAATAGTAACAAAAATTCTCTAATATTTTCATACAATATCTCGTATAAACAGAAGTATACTGGTTTTGTTGTTTATTTGTTTTATACCAGAAAGGATTAAGTTGTCTTGAGCAGAAGGCAATAGCATTAAACCTATTTTCTTAGGTAACATGCTGCTATCTAATTATACATTCAGTTTTCCCAACACACCTGAATCTCCTTGTGGCGTACTGTTCCTCAATAGCTGCTTCTCTTTCGAAGACCAGAGGTATGTCTTAAAATGAAACAGAGAAAAGGATGCGTAAACAGTGTGGGATTCTCCTTAGTCGCTTAGCAGCTTCTAAGGCTCAGGATGTAGAGTGCATTCATACAGGTAAGACAGTAACAAATAAGACAGCTCTTCAAACATACTTTGCTGGTGGTGTCAACTCTCAAGCTATACTTTTGAAACACAGTAGAGATACCTCAGGCAGATTAGTTTCTCTGGACATAAGAAAGAAATTTTCTGGCAGTTTGATTGCTGCAGTTCTAAAGAGATAAAAGGCAGAATAGAATAAAAGGGTGGGGAGGGACAAGAACAACTTTATGGTGTGGGTTTGACCTGTAGAGCCTTGAACATTTGGGCTACCCCATATGGTCATTGATGCTCCCGAGTTTGCGCCAGAAGAGGCTTAATTACTTGCAAGATCCCAAGCCTGTAGTGGCATAAACACCTTGGCTGTCCATGAAGTTGTTTAAGTGCTTTTCACTTAGGTAACCACCTTGACTGAGGGAGTTCTTCATGCAAGGCTCTAAGTAGTCTGCCTTTGCTTGTTTTATATTTAACATATAGCATTCATCTTTCCTATCAGCTGCGCTGTTACTACTGAAATGTGGAATCTTACAAATGGAAGAGTTTTCTTTCAGTTCCCTGTTTTAAATTGTTTAGGACAGCTATAATTACATTTATGGAGTAATCTCCAAATAAAAGGAACTTTACTGTAGGTAATATTTTTTTTTGAAATCTTGTAACTCTAGATTTCAGTAAATTATGGCTGATGTTCCTGTAGCAATTTGCGATGGCTGACCTGTATGATGCTGGTCCCAATAACTTCATTATCAGATGATCATAAAGTGCCCTGCAGTTCCCCATTTGGAAACAGGACACATAATTTTGTAGATGGGACAAGCAATACTGCAGTCACTGCCACAGCTGATTAGATCTTAGCATGCTTTCTATCCTTTTCAAGTTCCCTCTTCTTCACTCCATAGTTACTCTGGACCCTGTCTATAGTCCCTGAAATCAAATGCAGAAAATTCTAGAAAATATGAAATTGGAGCTTCCTGAGTATTTTCTCGTACATTGAGTAAATTAATCTTGTCACTTTTGGCATCAATAAGTGCAACCTTACCTTTGTGTACATAAATTAGCTTCTTTAATTATATCTCAGAGTTTGTAATTAGTACATAAATTTAACTTCACATGATATATACAAATTATTTCAAAACTAAGTCATTAAATGTGCAATTATAAACACATTTATTTCCTAAAAAGTTGATTAAATTTCTTTACTTAGAAGTTTACTTAAAATAATATAGCCACAATACAAAATTCTATTTGAATCTAAGGCTTAAGTTTTGTAAATATGAATACTTGATAGGTATAATAGAAAAAGGTGAATAACTTCATAGATAAATGCTCACAAAAGAGATAATCATGTGAATTAGTGACATATAGCACTGAAAATATAAATGTCAAAAGACTCTGTGTTTTTAACTTTCAGATTGTTTTTAAGTGTGTGTGTGTGTGTGTGTGTGTGTGTGTATAAGTTCATGTGAGTGTGAGTGCTTACAGAGGCCAGATGTGTCAGATCTACTTGGGATGGAGTTGAAATCAGTTATGAGCCATCTGACAGGGGTGCTGGGAACTGAACTCAGGACCTGCCTTTTCCCTGCTGAACCATCTTCTCAGGCCCCATCAATTAAATTCTTAAACAAATATGAAACTAAAAACCACAAATTAAGTCTTTTATCTGAATGATACAAAACTTTGTTGTCTCTACCTTTCTTCTGTCTCTTTTTAATGATTCCAGTAAGATGTTTTGTCAATGACTCCACAGTGTGCCGTTCATTTTTAATATTCTCAACAAATGGGTGATGAAGCATATTTCCAGATGTAGGACGAAATAGGAAATTTTTTATCATGCACTTTTCCATGAAATTGTGGAACTTACGGGACCTGAAATAAATGAAGCATACAGATGAAAGACATTGTCACCTGCTGCACTGTTCCTATCCTACTACTGTGCTACTTTCAAGGTCAAATATTCTGAAAGACATGTTCGATTTATATTTGTCTTTCAATTAGCAAACATCCAGCGTTGTAACAATATACATTATACAATGAGGTCATTTAAACTTCAGAAACAGAAGTCAAGTCAACAGACTTTTCTACTCTGCAATAGAAATTTCAATGAATTTGGCATCATGTACATGGTAAAGCTCATGTAATAAGATGCAATTAAAAGATTAATGTGGCATATGTTGTCAGGGAATGTGGACTGGTCATATGCTGTAACAGGCATCCTCTGGAGTCAGAATGTTTTACTTCAAACAATTACTACCACAGAGGCTTCACTATGATTCCAAAAGAAGGTATCGATAACCAAGACAAACTAAGCTTGTAAAATGGCACATGAAAAGCGATACAGTCCAAAAGTTTGAATCTATGTAAAGAGTTAAGTTCAGAAAAAGTGCCAACAATGAAATAACAATTCTCATCTCTTACTAATATTTTTATTAAGCAAGAGTTTAACTGGATTAACCAGCTTCATAGAACAGAATTCTCATGGTTGCCTGGGCTGTAGCAATTCAGAGGGAGTTCTTCAAGTCTATGGATGTTTAAAATAATGGGCTAACCAATAGGACTGCATATCTGAATTACTGACTGCATGTCTAGACACCATGAAAAATATCACTTATAGGTGCCATTGCTTTACCTCATTGCTATAGAAGCAGCTGAAAATGTCTATGTCTATTAATGAAAAGACTGTAATATCCTCATCATGTATTATAGAGGATACTACTTATTTCTAGCTAATCACGTATATCTTGATGAAAACTAGCTATTTAGACATCCATGTTAAGATACTGGAATACAGGACAAAAATGTTGAAACAAGAATGGCCAAATTAATGAAAACTTTGTTATAAAATACTAAATCAATATATTTAAGAAATTCATGTTTACCATCCACTGGATTTGACTGTGGGAGCAGATTCCCGTAGAATAATGAAAAGGGCTTCCAGGGGTTGAAGATTACACAGAGCTGTTAAGGGAAACAGATGAATTCAGAAAGAAAGTAAAGGGCAACTGCAGAGCCTACTGCTCATTCCATAGGCTCAGGGTTCACTCACATATCCTGTTAAATAGACACTAAGAGATGAACAGTTATAAATAAATGTACAACAACTAAGAGGAAAATTTGTTTGAATAAAAACCTTACATTAAGTCAGTGTCTCCATTACTAGGTTTAACAAATCAATTAAAAATGGCTATTAGAAAAATGGTCAATAGTATTAAAATGCTTTATACAATGTCCGGGAGAATGCAAAACTAGGGAAATATATGGTCCAGATGAAAGTAAACTGGCCTGGTATACAGGAGGAATTTTTGTCCATATTCTGCTCACCATCAAGCAGAAGATTCACACTGTCACAAAAAAAGGGAGAGGCTTAGAAGCACATCTCTTCAACTTGTGGCCTGTGGTGTTATGGTGTTTGAATGCTACTACAAATCTTTCAGCCTCAGTGGAAAAGCCTCATGTGCTTAAGTCCCCACATATAACCTGAGAACTAAAAACGGTTCTGTTTTCTATTGGTAAAGCACCCTTTCCCTACTAAGTTTTTCTTCTTCGTTTTCTCTGTTTCTCTGGGAGATCCTGATGTACAAAAGATCAAAGGATGATAATTTTCTTACCTAAATCTTGGAAGACACCATCTGATAATTGTGGTTTTGGAAAACTATCCCCTCTGAGATGATAATTATCATAACCTAGAAGATTGCTACAGTTAAACTGACGAGTATCGTTTTCATGCAGAGTAAATACTCCAGGCAATAAAGGATAGTAGTGAAAGAGAAATTTTTGATAGGGAGGCTATCTAAAGTTGCTCATGATTAAAGCACTTTTCATTAATTTTCTAGGCAGATGGCCTATCTCCTTGTGAGTTCAGAATCTCCTGGTCCTCACTCAACTTTCTAAAGAAGCTTGCCATTTTCAATTTCTATGCAAAACTCTTCTGCCCTCCTATGAGTTTGCTCTTCCGTCCCTTTTGGTTCTGTTACTTAAAACCTTAAAATAGAATTAATGCCAACTATCACATTCCAAATGTGAAGAGATGGACAGAAAGTAGATATCAAAGGATAAGGTGTAAGAAACAAAAAATAATAAGATATATATCATATATTTACACATGGTGATTTTTTTTGGTTTTTTTTCGAGACAGGGTTTCTCTGTGTAGCTTTGTGCCTTTCCTAGAACTCACTTGGTAGCCCAGGCTGGCCTCGAACTCACAGAGATCCACCTGGCTCTGCCTCCCGAGTGCTGGGATTAAAGGCGTGCGCCACCACCGCCCGGCCACATGGTGATTTTTATCAAAAGCATTTGTTCATCATTGAAAACATGACCATTTATGGTTTGGTACATGATATGTCACATGTGTAGCTAAATAAAAGCTGACTGTCCCAAGTGTGAGCATCATTTTAGAGAGACAGATTTGTAAAATATACTTGCACAGTCTTTGAACTCGATCAACTATATCAAACATTTGTACTTACGAGGAGCCCCTTCAGCCATTTCAATAGCAGTGATTCCCACAGACCACACATCACTCTAAAAATGACAGCAAGAAAGCAACTATTAAAATGGGAAATTAGTATTAAGAATCTCAAAACCATTTTGGCTGGGATGAGATATCCATGTGAGCCATGTCATCGGTTTTCTATAATAAAGCTTTTTTTTTTTTTTTTTTTTTTTTGGTTTTTCAAGACCGAGTTTCTCTGTGTAGTTTTGGTGCCTGTCCTGGAACTTGCTTTGGAGACCAGGTTGGCCTCGAACTCCCAGAGATCCGCCTGCCTCTGCCTCCCAAGTGCTGGGATTAAAGGTGTGTGCCACCACTGCCCGGCATAATAAAGCTTCTTTAGAGACTGAAGTTACAGAAAGGCTTTATCTGAGTTTGTGACCAGCCAGCACCTCACTATACCATAGGTTCATAAGGGATGATATTCAGTGAAAGGAAAGTTCATCCTGGCTGCAGTTCTACTATTGCTGCACTTTAAATACAAAAAGTAACTTTTTATAAAGAAGTCTTAATATGGAGAACCATAGCGTGTGATTTTGAGTAACTGATTTAATTCTTTTTTCTTTTTTTTTTTTTTTTTTTAGTTTGGTTTTTCAAGACATAGTTTCTCTGTGTAGTCCTGGCTGTCTTGGAACTAACTCTGTTGACCAGGCTAGCCTCGAACTTATGGAGATCTGCCTGCCTCTACTTCCTGAGTGCTGGGATTAAAGGCGTGCACCGCCACTGTCCAGCAATTTAATTCTGTGTATCTCAATTTCATTTATTGTAGAATGCTTTTTTTTTGGTTGTGAGCCTAGCCTTTAACGGCGGAGCCATCTCTCCAGCCCGTAGAATGCTTTTTAATTGCACCCATTTCATAGGATTGTTATGCATGCACATGTACACATATATGGGTATATGTACATGTAGCATATATGTATATTTAATAAACATGTAGATATATTTAATAGTTTATTAAACATTAATATACAAATTATGCTACATATAAACCATATTTGCTGATATATTTTATATAAATCATTGGATACATATTTCATTAGCTCTTGGAATATAATCAATTCAACCTAGAGTCATTATGAAGCTCTGATAAATTATCTCCACCATTGTCAACTGTACTTGGTTTTTCAAAGTATGAACAGGGTGATGGTGAGACGGTTTGGTGGGTAAAGACATTTGCTGCCAAGCCTGCTAACTTGAGTTCAATCATCAGGATCCACAGGTTGAAACGAGAGAACTGACTTCTACAAGTTTCCCTTTGAACTCTACTCATGTGCCTTTTCGTGCACACAGCATGCAGGTGAACGAGCACAGATGCCATACTTAAATAAAATGGAGCTTTAGGAAAGCGTAAAGGGCACCATATTAGAGGCATACTGGCTGTCCCTTAAAATAGTTGACTATTTGTGGAGCCTCGGTTTATAGATACCTTACACTTTGCTTTTTAAGATATTGCAATCTTAAGTTTTCTTTTGATTATTTTGAGATTAAATAATAGAAACAAGTTAAATTACTTGAAAGTCTGTAAAATTGATACAGATATAAGTAATGCAGTAAATGAGTTAAAGAGATTTATTTCTACAGTCTTCACAGCTCCCACTGTACTGCAGAAAGTGCAATAACTTCTCAGCAAATAATTACTTTACAGAACAAGCAAAGGGCATTGGAGGAAATGGCAGAGATGAAATGTAAATTGATTGATTTCAAGTATGGAGTCCTAAGTTCTGTAAAAAGAGGTCATAGTGAATTGTTTGGAAGACTTATGTATGATGTGGCAAGTGAGAGAAGTTTCTCTAGTTTCTAGCAAATGGGGACTTTTGTTCCTTTCCATATTGACTTTTTGGAACATATGTTTGTATATATATAAGTAGACATGTGCATTTCAATTTGAGATTTCAGTAGAAATGTTCATTTGTCTATTCCACTGATTTTCTGTGGTTCTGGAAATGAGCCAAATGCCAAAGATTTTCTCCAGTACACCAAGTAATTAAATTATTATTTTTATTTTTGAACTTACAAGGATTAATTTTGCCTTACATTTATTCTTTACATGTGGAACTGGTGATTAAACATAGGGCTTCATGAATGTTAGACCTACTGGCCAGTATCATCAACCATATTTTTCACTCTTAATTTTGACACAAAGCTGACCTTAAACTCACTTTGTAGCTCAAGCAGGCCTAATACTCCTGCTTTAACCGCCCAAGTAGTTGGGATTACAGTCTTGAGACCCCAGTCCTGGCTTCATTTTATTGAGTTTAGAAATGCCTCTGTTCTTGGAAGTTAAATTTCCAAATAAAGCCATCTAATATATTTTTATAAAGAAGTTGCCAACAACTTGAGCTAGATATTCCCTCCTGAGTCTGAAAGAGTGCTAATGTTCTACTTTGTCTTCATTATTAGAAAATATTATTCTTATGTATACTATGAAACCACATACAGGGATAGAGACTACTATTTTTGAGTAGAGGTTATTTAAAAGGAAGATCTACTTTTTATCCTCTTATCATTAAAATAGACATAGTTGGGGCTAAAGAGATGGTTCAGTGGTTAAAATCACTTGCTGCTTAATCATGAGGACCTGGATTCAGATCCCAGCACTCATGGTTACCTGACTGACAACTAATTGTAATTCCAGCTACAGGGCATTCCATGCTATTTTCTGTCCTCTATGGACACCTGCACACAAATGTGTGTATACACTCACAGAGACACATAGATACACATAAGTAAAATAAATCTTAAAAAAATAAAATAAGATAAATGTAGTCAACGTTTTTTTCAAATCTGAATCCTCACTGTCTGAAGTATGATACTCACTCTGTAATCATAGGAGCGTCTTGGGTCCTCATCACAATTAATCACCTCAGGGGCCATCCAGTATGGTGTACCAATGAAGCTATTTCTCCTTCCATTTGTTCTGCTCACTTGGGCACTCACTCCAAAATCCACTACATATGTCAAAATAATTAATCAGGAACACAAATCTCAATAAGTTATTGCTTTAACTTGGAAAGGCAATACAAAAGCCGCAATGGATAACAAATTTTCTTTCTGGCCCAGAAAACTTTACCAAGAAGTCTTCTCCAGGAATACTGGGAAATGAGCTTTAGCTGCTATTTATGTTGGAATGAGACCCAACAGCACTGTTATAAATTTAACGTAGGTTTGGATAAATGTTTATCATGAATATTAAAAATAAAGTTCCACTGATTACCAAAATGTGGCATATGGCATATGTAGAACTTGGAACTGCCACCAAGCTGGAGGATAAATAGCACTACAAGCCACATCTTAGTAATGTAAGTACTGTTAACAGTTAGGAAGGAAGTCTCATGCCTGACATCTGAAACTCCAATTCCACTGATAAGGAAAAGTGAGCTTCCTGATGTAAGTTAAATAAGTATACAGGTCTTCTGAATCAGGTACAAAATTATCCGGACTGTCTATATCTTAGTTTTGTGTTATAAAAGTTCAGTTTCTTATTCATCTGTGGGATACATTGTAAGAAAATATTTAGTATGGTATCCTGAGAAACAGACAGAAAAGGGCTGAAGTAGACTGGAGTTATTAATTCCAAAAACAATAGACAGGGATGAAATATGAAGTAGATTTTCAAATTTATAATGGTTTCTGGGAATCTGGAAGATGGTGAACAAAATAACTGAAAAGCAGCTTGAATAATTTAGTGGAATCAAAGAAAAATGAAACAAAATTAATAGTTTAAGGCAGTCTTTCAGAGAGTATCTAACAAGAGGGAGGAATATTCCAAATATTTTTGAAGATCTTTGGTCTCTATCTAAACTTTAAAAAAGTATTTCTTTACATAATAGCTCAACCTCCCTACTCTCTCTAATAGCCAACTTTAAAGCCAATAAATACCTAGGAAGACCATAAACTGATATATCCCATATATGCAGGGAAAGCAAGTGGGTAAAATCTAGAAGAAATAATGGAAAATATGAGCTTTTAAAAGGAAAAGAAAATTATGATAAAATGTAGAGTTGAAAACTCAACATTGAAGCTGGGTGCGGTGGCGCACAATTTTAATCCTAGCACTCAGGAGACAGAGGCCAGAGGAGCTGTGAGTTCAAGGCTAACCTAGTCGGCAGAGTGAGTTCCAGGATAGCCAGAGCTACACAGAGAGACTCTGTCTCAAAATAATAGCAACAGCAGCAACAGCAAGAACAAAAGCAAAATAAAATTCAACAATAGAATAATTTGTATTTTCTTTAATGATACAAGGAATATATTATGGATATTATTATCACTTTACAATGTCTTCCCTGCTGTCAATTCTGTGGCTATCGTTACGTTCATATGTATTGCTTAAAACAAAGTTATCTGAAAAATCGAAATCAAAGTGTTTAAGGATTTGTCTCATGAATAAAGTACATCTACATTAGTGAATAGACTTTGAAACAGATATTTAAGACACTTTGTTCGTGCAATTTCTGTTTCATGTTAAGACTGTTTGCGTTACCAGCAACTTGACCCAAGCATGTGAATATAGGGTACATATAGCTTGACAGTGCAGTATCCAATCTTGTATATTCGAATGTGTATTTCAGTGCAGTTGATATTGCCAGTTTTGTAGCTTATGCAAATGAAACATGGTACGTTTTCTCAAAACTACTGTTATTTCAAGAACACACAATTACTATCTCATTTATTCCACAAATATTCAATAAAATATTCTTAATGACCAAAATCTCTCCTCTGGTTCTGTTTATTTAGCAAGAAAATGGGAAATTCAGAATTTGGTTTCCATATTACTGCAACCTCACTTCTGTTCAATATATTTTCAAGGAAAAAATGCAAATAAGCAATTTATGTCTAAACAACTGAAAGCTATTTATAGTCTTCAAAATACGGCTCTATTATGGGCAAGAATATTTTTTAAATGTTTAACACCTACTATGATTCAATCACTGTAATAAGTATGAAAGTTATCTCTAACATAGTTTAAAGCAATAAATGACCAAAAAGTACGACTCATATTATATTTAAAGATAGTTTATCTGCAGTTTCAAAGAAATCATTAGGCATATCCTTTTTACTTTAATGCCAATTTCCTGCCAAACAAAGTTTCGATAAAGCCCAAATAATATATTGGCACTGATATGATCAAAGTCATTCTTCTTCACTTTCTACCTCATCTAACCCTTGCCAGAGTGAACTTACCTAATTTTACTTCAGCATTATGAGTCAGCAGCACATTTTGGCCTTTGATGTCCCGGTGAATTACTCGGTGTGCGTGAAGGTGAGCTAAGCCCTGTACATACATACACATTTTAAAAGTCAGGTAAGTATATAGATACGTATTTTTTTTTTCAGTTTTCTAGTAGTGCTTTTAAGTGCTTTTGGAGAAAAAAAGCTTTTGTTAAGAAAAATGGTCCACATTTGGTTTTTCAAACAAAATTCTTTCTTTAGGCTGGAATGACTACAACCAGTTCCCAGAAATACTACTTTTGGCTATAAGGAAAGGAAAATAAATCAGAATACTCATGAAAGAAAAAGAACACCAAAAAGTAATATTTATATAGATTGGGAAACTCTATCCTCCTTTATAGCCTCTATATTTCTGACTAGCCATGACAGTAAAGACATGGACATCTTAACTATGAACTGTTTTGTTCTGTTTCTTATCCAAACATTTGTTTAGTCTAAACTATTTTCTGGTGAGGTCTGTAGGCCTAGAATTTGAGGGAATATGGAAATTCATTTTAAAGTGTGTACAATTTTTGTTGGCTTACCATGTTGGCTGCAGCCCATTCACCACGGAAAGAACCCCATGACCTGGCTAGACCATGCCATGGTATGCAGTGTTGCACTTCAGTGAGATCATGTCACATACTAGTTGGGCATTAATAATACATTTATTGAGATTTTATTCTGTGCCAGACATTGTGCTAAATGTTTAGATGGAGTCATTGCTAAGTTATCCTAGAATCCCTTTGGAAAATGTGCTATCCTCCTATGTTATGGGTAAGGAAAATGAGACCGGGGGAAATCAAGAAATTGATTAAAGATCACACACAACTGATATGTGATGAACTGAAATCCCAACTTGGTATATGGTTTGCACTCTTAATACATTTGTATTGTTATTGCAAATAAATTCAGACAAAATGGGAAGAATGGCATTCTAAAAGTGTTGAGGGTAATCTTAATTTTATTAATACCCCTTTCTGGTGACCCTTAATGACTTAAGCACTGAACACCGATTAAAGTTGGCTGACCAAGAAGCTCATTGCTTTCATCCAATTTAATGTGAGAAGTAAGGAGAAATGTGGGGCTATTTTCAAATTGATATATGCCCTTTTAAAAGGCTGCAGATGGTTTGGGGCCACACTGTAGAACACTAACTTTTCCTGATTAGACCTCATCTTAATCTATGATGATAGTACTATGCTTAAAAAATAATTAAGCCGTAATGTCAGTCCCATGATTTGATGAACATAGTAGCATGAATTTCACAGAGAGCCATTCGAGACTATGATTTGAGCTTTTGGGTCTTTGAGGATTCCTTATCCACAGGTTATGTCTAAAATTCTTAGTCAGGTGTATAGTATAAATACACACACACACACACACACACACACACACACACACACACACACACACACTCTCGTGTGTGCATGTGCCCGCGCATTTGTGTGTGTGTATGTGTTTTAGAGCCAGGTTCTTTTAAGATCAGGGGCAAGGATTATTTGAATACTCACCTGAAGAATTTCTCGACAGATATAAGCAATCCAGTCTTCTTTTAAACTCTGATTTCTTGTCATCCTCACCACATCAGTGACTGAGCCTGCTGCACATAACTCCATCACAATCTGCAGAGGATCCATAAAAACATAAAATATTTTTAAAATTACAACAGTGGAATGAGAATTTGTGAAATTAGGTAAACCAGGAGGCACATTTGATGTTTCATTAGCAGGTGGGATTTGGACTAATCCATGGCATGTAGGTTTTGTAGGTTGCAGTTTGAGATAATTAGAAGGAAGATAATTTATGTTTATATATATAAAAGAACAAATACCCTTGACCTTAAAAAGAAGTTGGTGAGGAGAAGAAGCCTGACTGTTGACTGGAGTGGAAAATAAAATAAGGAATATTTGAGAGACTAGTTTGCCTGGATGTGGAAAATCTTCAAAGAATCTACAGCTCATTGTTAAGATTAGATTTATTTTCATTTCTTAATGGGCTAGAATGACTGAATGAACAGAGTACTAATGTATCTGATAACGTGTTAATATTTCTAATAACTTTACATATTGTGTGAAAGTTAAATTTGTAATATTTTATGAAAAATATAATACGCACAGAAATATTAAATATAGTAACCATGGAGTTGTGGAACATTATTTAATAAAATTTCAACTATGATTATCAGAGAATAGATACTTCAAGTTCCCTGAACATCTGTGAAAAACAGGGTTAATTTGAACATCTCTAAATTTGGTGGTTCTAAGAATGCTGTTATTAAACTAGAAGCATCACTATCATCTATGGACTTACTAGAAAGTCCACACTTCACACATATTCCAGAATTACTCAATTTAAAAGTCTGTGAAGGTGGACCAGCATTCTGTGTTATAGAAAGTTCTCCAGAAGTTCCTGATTCATGCTAAAATTTGAATTTCATTGTAATGTGTTGTTGTAAGCATTTCTCCATCGTCAATTGTCCAAATTCCCAAAATCCTTTATGTAGAATGTAGTAGGACTTTTTATTGACACTAGAAGATCCTGAAAACTTTTTATAATTGTTAAAAAAAGTTATTCCAGTTTATGTCCCAAATACTCTGTTTTTAAAGATATCATTGACTAAAACTCATTATCTAAGATAGTAGAGTACAGGAAAAATTCTAGTAACTGTGGACTAGTTAGACTAGGTTCCAGTAAGTTACTGAAATTTCTATTTTTTGATCTGGAATTTATAATAGTCCAACCATGATGACAAATCAATGAACCATTTAGCTATATTTATGCATAAGTGCACATATGTCAAAACACCTAACATGTAGCTATCTGTTCATGTCAATTGCTAATTCAAATTTATCCTCATCTGTTTATTATTTCTAGCCCATCAAGCCACCTGGATACCAGCAAAAAGGAAAAAGAGCAAAGCTATAATTTACAATTTGAATTTTAAATTAACAGTGTTTGTTTTGGTCCTCCTCCATCCAATCGAAAAGCTCTTAGACGGGCATTTAAGTTACCCTTTCCATTTCTTATTATGTTGTCTAAAGGAGTCAGAATACATTTTGCCATACTGTCTTGAACAGTTGAGGGCTTAAGTTTTCTAGTAGGAAAGCAAATATCACATTGCGCTGGACTTTTCTTATGGAAAAAGACAAAGGCAAAGAAAAACATACCCAAAGTTGATGTCTATAGCCAGGGGGACTCAGCTTGAAAAACGCACCATAGAAGGACACAATGTTTTTGTGGAAAGAGTACTTCCTCAGCAGATTGAGCTCGGTCCTGAGATCCTCTTCTTCATCCTAAACAGTAAAAGCAGACAACAAAGCTTTAAGCTATGTAAATTGGTGGCAGTTAGTCTCAAAAGTATAATATACTTATAAAGGAAAATACTACAGTAACAGTATATTCTATAGTGATTCAAAATAAGACCTCAAGAATTAACAGTGCATGGAAATCTCTGAAAAATTATAATTTGGGAGTAAAAAAGAAAGAATGAACTAAAGATCTCATAGTCCATAAGTTCTTAAAATGTGATCTTAGAACAGCATCACTACACCTCAAGAAAGTATTCAATAAATGGTGTCAATATTTTTCTAAATTTATTGAGATACAATTCACATATTATAGACTTTGGTCACTTAAAATGTAACACTCAATTTTTTAGTAACTTAGATATATATTAATATCATCACAGCAATCAGAGAATATTTTTTTCCTCTATAATGAAACTCCACAAACTTTGGTTCATAGCCTACCTCCAATTCTACCACACTCATCTTAGTTCTGAGAGACCACTAATTTACATTCTATCCAAAGTGCATAAATGAAATTTTATATGTAATCTCTTCAGATCAGCTATTTCTGAGGTTTATACATGACATATCCACTCATAAAGTATTAGTATTTCATTTATTTTGGTTTACAGTCAATCAAATTATGGGTACATTTGTTATTTCTACCTTCTGGGTACTATGAATAATGTTTCTATGAGCACTCATGTGAAATTTCTTAATGTACATGCTTTCATTTCATTCTGATGATTCTAGTATAGTTAATATTATGATGAAATGCCAAACTCATATTCAACAGCAACTGCATCACGTTGTCTTAACAACATAACATATATAGGAAGTTCTGATTGTTCCACACTCACCAATAATAGTTGTTATATCTGTTCTTTGAAAGTGAAATGATAGTATTGTGTGGTTTAATTTATAATACCCTGATAAAAAGTAGTTTCAAATTATCTTATCAATTTCTTATTGGCTAGTGTGTGTGTGTGTGTGTGTGTGTGTGTGTGTGTGTGTGTGTGTGTGTGTGTATGTGTATTGCAAAACACTGAAATAAAAAATTCTTTGCACATTTAAATGTTGGGTTGTTTTTTCATTATATAAATGTAAGGTTTCTTTTTTAGATATTATAGATACAAATTATTTACTAGATAGTGGGTTTAAAAGTATCTTCACCCATTTTCTGAGTTGCCTTACACTTTCATGTTTTCTTTGGAGCACACACATTTTTACTTTTGATAAAGTCCAACGTATTATCATTTTATTGTTAGTACTTTTGGTTTCATATCTAAAGATTCATCAAATCAAAATCAGAAGTATTTACTTTTATGTTATTTTCTAATGTTATGGTTTGTAAAGCATTTTATAGCTCTTGTGTTAAGGTATTTGATCTAATTTCAGTCAGATTTTTTTCTCATACATTTATAGAGCTAGTAGAAAAAGTTGTGATTAGCCTTTAATACATTTTAAAGGTATGGGTTCACTTGATGTTAATCTTGTAAAGTAAGCTTATAAAAATTTTGTTTTCCTAATCATCATGTCTGTAAAACATGTAATGATCCAATCTCACTGATTATTTTCATAGATTCTTGTTAAAAGGTTGCAGTACACATTCTGTCAGAGTTGTGCATGCTAGTAAAGTAGCTAGAGACTGAAGTGATAAATACACAAGGCATATATGTAATATATGATACATACACACAATAGCTACAGAGATGCATATGTGGAATTCGTTTTAATTTAAACAACTGCGTTTTTTCTTTCAAAATTTTTATCAATACATAAAACACATCATCTATCAATAGCAATGAATCCTTATATATCCTTTGGTGGGCAGCATGCAATTATAAAGAATGGTGATATCGTTCTTGTGCTTAGGGGATGTTGACGTACTTCTTTTAAGAATTATCAATTTATTTATAACTGAATCCACCTGATTAGGTGAGATCATTGAGGTGAAAAGCACAGTTTCAAAAGACAACTCTATCAAAAGATAAGTTGATCTTAGAAAAGAGCAAGTACTCAGAGTATTAGTAATACTTTTCTTTTTACCATTGATTTTCCATAGTAGAAAACCCACTTATTCTTCCCAAGGTTCCATTTACTTAAAAAAATACAGTAGAAGACACAAACATTTTTCTGTCTTCATAGGAGATCTATGTATGTGCAACTAACACACTTTTTAGCCAAAGTAATCAAGCTGATTTAGAGATGCTAACTGATTAGCTAGCAACGATGTTCCTTTACTAAAACATAATCACAGAATTCAAAATACATGACTTAAAAAAAATAAAACTTCCAAGAGTGGGTTTCCCACATAAATGTAAACTCTCCCAAAACAAATAAATGAAGATCAGATATGTTTGGAAAGCATTAGTGTGTTTGCCACTCTCAATTAACGGGAAGTTGAGCTTGTAAGAAACACACAAGTACATAATATCCATCAGGCCAAGTGGGTAATTTAAAACTCTCACACATCTCCCAGTAATATGATGCTCCAGTGTTTCCTGGCTCTGTGCCAGTTGATCCCAGACTAGTCTGAATACCCTGCTTTTTGTCAGAAGGCAGCTCAAGGATGCCAGAATTCCCTTTGTAAATTTACCAATGCTACAATTAAAATCCCCTTTTTATATGGAAAGAATACCAGAAAGGTCTTGGAGATTTTAAAATGTTTTTATTAATATAAACTTTTGAGGAAAACAGAATTGACCAAATAATTTCTAGTTTTCTTTTGTTTAGTGGGTTTTTGATCTACTAAAGCCAGTTATAACTGCTTCCTGTTATGATACATTATAAACAAAAAAGTCTGTTGTGTAACAGATAAATCATGAAGGTATTTGGTAATGGGTTTTTTCATATACCTAGAAAGACTCTAAATGAGTTTGTTTGTGTTATTAGAAAGACTTATTTTTAATGTACATGACACTATATTTATTAAGGCATAAAGGCTGAAAAATATCTGAACCTTATTTATTTGACTGTAGGAGAGAAAATTAGAAAAAATAATCAATGATTTATATTGATATGTACAATAATTTTGGTTTTAGGCTCATATAATATTTTTATAGAAAACAATGTCTTTTGAAAACTATAATTCTGTATGCTTGAACTTATTCTAAAGCCAGTCATCATTGGGATAAGGGAGATCTCAAAACTTCTGCAAGGAGAAAGTGTTTCATAGTCCCTCCTGTGTTCAAGTATTTTGGACAAATATCTGAAGATTGTTAGGATAGGGACCATGTTGGCTTTCTACTATTAGTTTTGCAATATAAAGAGTAAGCATAATTTGGCTCATATGCAATATGTCTGTGATCAAAATAGTTGGACAACAGAAATTAATTCTAAAGAAGGTGTGTAACATGTAAAAATGACTTTGTTAAGGTCACTTTTAGGAAAAAGTCGTTCTTGGTAAAGTCAGCTCTTCCTCTGTTGCTTGCCAATGAGAAGGTTCTATACTCTGTAGACACACTCTAATTTTCCCCTGCAGCCAATAATTTACTACACCTTCTTTTTTGACAGATGTTAGTGTTCAACTATGATTAGTGAATCTATATGCGTAGTAGAAGATACACACTTTATCATTTCCAGCAGGAGCATATTAGAGGGAGCCCATGTAGAGATAACGATGAGCTGAAACCTAAAATTCAAGTCAAGACTATGGAGGTGCTAATGAAGACATTTAGTACTCACACTGTATCTCCATCCAACAGACTTTTGATATTTATTCACTCTCACCCGCCTTCCTATTTCAGGCAAAGGAGTCTGGAAAACAACCAAGAAAATATTATTAGACGTACTAGTAGGATTTTACAATCATTTATGCCAAAATACTTTGTGCCGCTTTAGCACTAAATTGTAGATCAATAAAACTTCATTCCTTTTTTGCTTTCCAATAATAGTATTAATCTAAAAATTTAGTTTCTTATGACATGTGTAAACTGGTCACTAAACTCATGTTAATGGATGTAACTGACACATTAATGGTAATTTTATAATAGTAAAGTGTTATTTTCCTCTTACAAATGCAGGCAATAAATATTAAGCATCTATATTCTTAATTTTTAAATATTTCAACAAAGATTTAATGTGGTTCTAGAACTCCTAAGCTAAAACAAGGAATTAAGTATTTTACAGAGTCTTACTAAAAAAAATGGTGGGTTATTTGGAAACTATGGTTTATAAATCTGCAAAACCTCCAAATCCCTTGACTCGCACATTGGTCTGCAACACTTGACATTTACTGGCAAAAGAAAAGTACTTGACTTTTTCTTCACTAATTTCAAAGTAACGTGTCATTGTAGCATACAGCAGTTCCATTAAACTACACAGTCTTTCAAATATTTTTCCTTTAGGATAGAATGCAATAAGAATTTCTTAACTTCTGTTATGTTCATGTTAATATTATTTTGAGAAAGTGAATTACTCAAGCTAAAGAAAGAGGGCAGAAATCAGTCCTTTGCAAGTTCTTTGACAATAAATTATGAACTGTGCCACAATTTTATGAATGTTAGCAGGAACAGTGCCAATTAAATTGTCTCTCTTGCTTATATGTCAGAAAATATATGAAAAATGTGCATCTCTGACAACTTCTTCTCTTCTACCTGTCATTGGGGATCTAATGGCCTCAATTCTCAAAAGAAATTATTGGAGAAAAAATATGACAGAGCAGAACAGTATTAATACAATACTAAAGAAAATATCTTCTTTGCTATCCTCAACAATTGATAATCAACTGAAAATAGAGGGGAAGATAGGTATTTCCCCAACTGGCTTATAATATCAAATATTTGGAATTTATGGTGTGAGGGAATTATTTTTAATGCGGAAATAAAACTAAACCAGTAAGTGTAATACATTATTAACTGTGATTACATAACTGTAGTTATTCCACATTAACTCACTAATATATAAAACCATGACTTCAAAACAATACTTTTGGAGTTGTTTATCCCATGTACACAGTGTATTAAGCATGCAGAATACAGAGAGGACACAGTATTGATTACCTTCCGAGCATTCATTACTTTAACAGCCGTTAACGAACCGGTCTTTTCATGGAGTCCCTGAAAGAAGGGTTAGTGATAAATGTCAAATGTTTGTTATTTACTCAGCTATCAAGAAACTAATAAAGTGAAATATATTATAATTAAACAAAGTCAAGATCATAGCATGTTAATAAATAGGTATATGTATTTGTAGTGAACATAGCTGTTATCAACATTTACATAAATCCAAAGCACTTCACTGAAAATGAAGCAAGTTTATTAGGTAGCTTAGATGTTTGTGCATATATTAATCTGTGGACACAATTGATCATGTAAAATTATTATTTATTTAATATAAGTAATAGTCTTGATTTGTGTTTCACCAAAGAATCCATATGAAAAGTACAAATCTTCAATTGAAGATAACAACAAAAAGAAGACATTTTACTCTATACTTTTTGACCTACATGTATATGTACTGTGCAGAGATATCTTCCTATTAGTATTTCTTGACACACACAATTTCTTCCATAATGTCCACTGGTAAGAGTGACACATTCATGAAATATGTTCTGAAAGATTTTTTTCTTATTGGAATCACAATGATTTCTAACAATACAGTCTTAGCCTAAATGCAAATCATAGATTTATAATAGTGTTAATGTGAACATATAGATTTTTTTAGTTAGAGCTTATTTTGTGGCTGCTGATTTTTTAAAAAAATATTTCATTCTGTGGTAATAGAAGAATTCCAATCCAGTGTTACTATGAGTAAGTTAAGTGGGATGCCTTATATGATACTTTTCTAGCAGAAAATTATTCTTGGACTATATACTAGGTTGAACAGTATTCTTACAAATTCCAAGTTCACCTTGTACTTCAGATTGTGACCTTATTTGGTTATACCTGCATTTCTCCGAAGGCACATTGAATTACAACTTTCCTTTCTTTGATTCTAAGAGGTTATTCATGGGTCAAACTGCTATTCTGTTCATACTACTATTCTGTGAAATATAAAGCATTTGGCATACTAGCAAAGATATTAATCATATATCATCTTCTCTGATTGAGAGTAAAATTTAAAACCTTGCAAAATTTGAACTCCATCACCACCATACTTGTAAACACACATTAGTGAGGTACTTGAATGTCAGTGAGTGCTAGTACTCATGGTCTAAAGAATCAGTTTGTTAACAGCCTCTTGATCTGTGATTGATGCTCATTTTATAATTACACACAATTATTTTGTAGTACAATTATACACTAAAGTGGAGTTTCAAGAATTTATTTGCTATTCCTGAAGGGAAACTAGCTAGACCCTAGGTCTTGAAATCATTTATTAGGTTAAGAAACAACCATTACAAGCTTCCATAGATGTCTAGTATATTCAAAAATACATAATTATAAATTGTTGCTATTAAGGTAACCTTTCAGAGTTCTCCCTTGTACACTGATTTTATTTAAACATTTACTATGAAATAATTTCAAACTCAGAGATTAGTTTAAAAATGCAGAATTCCTATGTATTCTTTTTCAGCTTTCTATAATGCTAGTATATTACACTGACCATAGTATAATAATTAAAAGTCAATATTGGCAAGATACTCCTTTAAACTATATTACGGTTTATTTGTGATTTTTTTGGTCAACCATTTTGGATAATGTACCTCAGCTTTAGTTTATCTGATGCTTTCTTGTGATTATTCTGAGGTTGCACACTTGGGGTGAAGAACAAATAAATGAAGTGTCCCTTTTATCACATGTGTAGTAGAATATTGTTTGAAGGTGTGTTACTTTTGTTTATGTTGCATTTGTTTAACTCTGGGAAGTCGTGTTGCTGTGCCTGTGTAAAACACCTGATGGTTTAATAAAGAACTGGCCAGTAGCAAGGCAGGAGAAAGGATAGGCGGGGCTGGCAGGCAGAGTGTATATATAGAAGGAGAAAACTGGAGAAAGGGGGAGATCTAGGAGCCAGAGAAGGGGAGGACATCAGGGGTCAGCCACCCAGCCACCCAGCTACACAGCAAGCCACAGATAAAAAGTAAGATTTTCAGAAGTAAGAGAACAGGAAAAGCCCAGAGGCCATAGGTGGTAGATGGGATAATTTAAGATAAGGAAAGCTGGCTAGAAACTAAGCCAAGCTAAGGCTGGGCATTCGTAATTAAGAATAAGCCTCCATGTGTGATCTATTTGGGAGCTGGGTGTCAGGCCCCCCCAAAAGAGCAAAGAGCCAAAACAAACAACAATACACATGTATCAGCGTAATGAGTATTACAACATAACAATTATGTTTTGACTTTGATCACTTAATGTAAGACCTGTGAAGTTTCTCCACGATCGAGTCACTGTTCTCCATGTCATACTGTAATTCACTGGAAGTGACTGACATTAGTTTTGAAGGAGGCTGTTATTCTTGACCAGCCATTTACAGAATCTAGAAGCACCTTTCTGAAATAAACTAATTGTTCAGTAGTGCCATCTTGTGGTTTGCTGATTATGTGGAAGCTGTTTGCTGATAAGAGCTGAAAGCTATGCCCTAGTGAGAGGAGTGCAGCATTTGTAATGTGGGGTTCAGTGTGGCCTTTACTTTCTCAGGTATAATTTGTGTTCTATTTATGTGAAATTTTCTGTAAATATATGTAGAAAGTGCTAAGAAATCAGATAGGCTTTGTACTCTAAAATATGAAGAATTTTCCTCAGCTCTACTGAGTATTGAAAAGCCCAAATATAAATTGGATTTTGTTGTCCACTTTACCTATGGAAATATCAATAATATACAGAAATTACTAGTTGTACTGGAATAATAATTCTTCTTAAAATATAAAACACTCAAAAATACTAGAAAGATAAACTGTCTGAAGTCACAATTTTTAAAATGTATATGCCTATAACAGAGAAAAGAAAATTCAGAGACTTGATACTTGTATATGTCTTGAATCCATAATAGACTCTGTTAAAGGGTTCAAGACAATGAATACAGGCTACCATAAAAATAGACATAAATAAGGTCCCAAGTAACTGTCCTAAACAAATTATAATGCCTTCACAACTAAACCTGTATTCTCTTCACAGATCTATTTGAAATAACTCAGGAGAGAACATAAATCCTTCAATGTGCTAATTTCAACTTGGCAAAGATTTGTGTTTTTAATTAATTTAAGAAATCAAATAAATAGCATTATTTAGTTTGCTTCCTCTGGGAAAAGCAGTGTTCATTATTATACTGTTGGTTTTCAATGGCTTGAAAATTAGTACCAGCATTCTTAACATATCTTATTAATAGAAAATGCTACATACCCATAAATTTAAGGCAGTGATCACATACAAACATCTGTATATATACTGTATATGTATATAAGTATATATATTATTTCTCTCATTGAAGACTACCCCTTGATATTCATAAAATTTAAGGGGCAATCATGAACACAATGGTGAGGGTTACAAGAAAAGTTGCACTACTATTTCGTGGTCAGACTCCTTCAATTGCTACACTAAAGAATAATTACAATTTGGGAAGGTTTTTGAAAATAATAAAGTAAGGCTAATTTAAACACTAAGGTTCCAAAAGCAAGTTTTACCTGAACTTATAAGTACAGAATAAATATATGAATTCTCAGTGTCTTCATCACCTGACACTTAGCCTTCCCAGCTTCTATTTGACCAGTAAGTCAACCACCTTTCCAAGCCCTTATTTCCTTTCTGCTGGCACAGATCTTTTCCATAAGCTTTTCTTCCTCTATATTTTAAATTCTTCCCTTTGCCTTTGGGGCTGTTTAGGTGAAGAGGAATGTTTCTTCCAGTTGTTTGCTGATTTCCAGTAGAATAGTTGGAAAACCTTCATGGAAGTGGTACAACTACAAATGGCGCCCAACGTGTTGGCAAGAGTTTCCACCTAAAACCTGAGTAAAAAGATTCTAAAACGGAGCTAAAACAGTTCCTAGTTGTCTCTTTCAAGTTAGCGGCAGTCTGCATGTTTGAGCTACTATGGGGGGTTCCTGGCATGTGTGCTCGACCTGCAGTATGGTGGGAATGAGGCCTCTACAAGTGGCACATTAAGCTGCCTGGTGGATTTAGCCTTTGCTAATACAAAACAAAAAACGAGGTTTCTGGGATACACACTGCTTTGATAGAAGCATAGACCCACTATTTCTGAGGGTTGATGGCTCCCAGAACTGGCAAAAAATGTACCACTGCCATGTTGGGAAGCTGAGGTGGGTGGAGTCAGCGGCCACAGTGCCGTTTCAGTCTTAGAAGGCTGCAGTTTAAAGCAATAGGTCCAAGATAATATAAAAAATAAGCCACGTAAAGATGGCTATCACACAGAGAATCTGGATTATGTTGACTTTGATATTTGTAACTGAAGAAAAACATTTGATTGTAAAAGCTGTTGAATTATGCCAAAACGTATATTTTAAAGTTACCTTGACTATAAAATTTGGATGTAAGGATATGTTGCTTTGGAAAGGAGGCTCTGCTTTTGTTTCCACAGAAAGCCAGAGGCTATGGATTTGTTCCAGATTAAGCTACATCAGGTTTGACCAGCCAAGACCCCCTGAAAGGTCTCCGATGACACCATGGCCCAGATGATCCAACATCCAGAATGGTTTGAAGGCAAATGGCTCAGACAATACAGCCTCATAGACTATTCCATAATCCTAAAATTTTCTTTGTGTCCCCATAAGATACAGCGCCCCCCTCCAGCAGGAAGTAGTAAGAGAAGCTATGCCCAAATTCCCAAATATACCAAGCTGGCTTTGGAGATGTGTAAAAGTTAAAACCTTCCTTTTAAAAAAAAAAAAAAAAAAAGAAAAGGGGAAGTGCTGTGAGATGGTCTGTATGTCAGATGTGTTGCTCTGATTGGTCAATAAATAAAACACTGATTGGCCAGTGGCCAGGCAGGAAGTATAGGCGGGACTAACAGAGAGGAGAATTGAGAGAACAGGAAGGCAGAGGGAGATACTGCCAGCCGCTGCCATGACAAGCAGCACGTGAAGATGCCGGTAAGCCACGAGCCATGTGGCAAGGTATAGATTTATAGAAATGGGTTAATTTAAGATATAAGAACAGTCAGCAAG